GGGGCTCGATCCCAGGACCCTGGGATCATGACCTGAGCCGAAGGCAGACGCTTAACGACTGAGCCACCCAGGTGTCCCCAGTATGAACACTTTATAAATAGATTTTATTTATTTGACAGGGAGAGAGAGGGAGCGTGCACAAGTGGTGGGGGGGAAGGGGCAGAGGGAAAGGGAGACTCTCCTCTGAGCAGGGAGCTCAACATGGGGCTTGATCCCAGGACCCCGAGATCATGACCCCAGCTGAAGGCAGATGCTTAACCAACTGAGCTACCTAAGTGCCCTGAGTATGAACATTTTTTAGGCTCTTGATTTCATATTGGCAAAAGGCTTTCCAGAAAGGATATACCAATTTTTGTTCCTGTCAGTTAATAGATGGGATTATATGTTTTATAATGTTCACAGCTGCATTGATGATTTATAAAATTCTTAGAAGAACAAAAAATGAAATGTCATTGTTTTAATTTCCATTTAAACGAAGTTTGGACTTTTTTATGTTAAGTCAATAAAATGTAAAAAATTGAATTTATAGAATCATATGGAAAAGGATAAAGTGAATACATTGGACGTTTCTGGAATGGGGAATACAGAGAGAGAGAACCCAGAAGCTGAGACTGTATCTACGTAAGTATTTAGGAAGTAGAATAAAAGTAGTAGCTTTTAAGAATGACTCTAATAAGTTCTGTACTTGATAATGTCTGAATTTTATTTCCGTTAAGTGTACTTAAGTCTTCTCTTAACTGTAGGTGTGTTGAAACATTTCAGTAGTGATCTTTATGCTACTGGAGAAATAAATTATGATATGGATCCATTGGGTTCGCAATTAAATTTCTTCCTTAACTTACTAACAGGATTTTAACAAAGTCTTGTTAGATTAATTGTTAAGATTCATATTTCTGGATAATTTTATGTATAGCAGGTTTCAAAAGGTAATATTTCCCTGGGAATGCAGATTCAGAGTAGATCTTATTCTAATACTAATTTGAACCATTGGATTCTGGACTGTACATTTATGCCATAATCTTTGTCTAGTGCCCTGGAGGTGTACGTTACAAACTAGTATTCTTAGTGGAGAATGGTATTAAGTGTCTGTCAAATATAGATTTTTTTCCAGTTTTGTGATGAAATGATTTTTATAGTTAGGGTTCCAGGATTATGTCTGTCCGAAAGCGTTAAGGTGTAGAAACAAGAGTGTCTTTGATGATGTATTTGAGGACACTTGTAATTATTTTTATATTTCAAATGGTTTACTTATTCATACCTTGGAGAAGAGAATACTGAAAATAAACATGTGACTTCAGAATAACCATAATTCTATTCTTTTGTAGTTCTAGTGAAAAAACTGGTCTGCAGGAAGATGATCAAGCGAAGGCTGTCAGACCAGCACGACTAATGAGGGGTCGATTGCAAAGGCCAAAGCCAAATGTAGGAAAAGCTGCTGAAAGAAAAGAAATTCTTGCATCACAGGAAAAAATTGAGGCTAATGTAAAAAAGAATGAAAGTCAATCCTGTATTACTAGAGATGTAAGTACTCTGATTCTTGCCATTTTTTTTTGTTAAACAAGTACTTAAGCCTTCTTTTACCTCCCTCTATAAATGGCATGACTGTACAGTTGTGTTCATTGTATATTAAATTTAAAGCCAAAATCTCAGAGCCAGCAGCTTTGCTACTTGTAAAGCCATTTAACTCGCAGCAATCTAGATTTTGGGCATTTACATAATGGAGCATCTGCTTTGATCTTATTACTTCGGGTTTGACTTGCCTCCCCCTCCCCATCATTTAGGTATTTGAATTATGCTTCCTTTTTGAAAATAGAGCTAGATATGTGAATTTTAACTCTGGCTTAAACACAGTAAAATGTTAAAAGCTTCCTACTAAAATAGAATTCCAAGAACAAAGATGATGAGTTTTAGGTTATTTACATAATAACTAGTCTTTGTGATAAGGGTAAGAGTTCAGATCATAGTTAGATTTGAATTTCTTTTATAATTCTCAAGATCTGTACTGTAATGATACTAATCAGAAGACAGACCCCTGGGAATAATTCTAATAGATGAAACTGAAGCGCTGTAACTTGCTTTCTGATAAGAGGAAAAGAATGGGGGCTTTGAGATAAGGTGGAAGGTGTAGCTTGTGAAATTTTTAAAGATATTTAAATAACACTAAAAAAAGTGTCCTTTGAATATAATTTTATAATTTTGAAATGTTTACCATTTTCCCTGTACTCAAATTGGAGAAAATTTTCAATGCAATTTTTTATAAATGAGTGTTTCATTGTGAAACCTTAAAAATGTGTTTGTTGTTAAGAGTCCTGAACAAGTAGAAGATCAGTCATGTAAAAATTTTGACTTTGAAGACATCACATTACAATCTGAGAAAGAAGATAATTTTTTTCAAATGAACGTTAATGAATGTGTAAGGTAAGCATCATCTTAATGGTTATGTAATCTTTGAATTTTGTATAAAGTTTTAGAAATGTTTAATCAATTTTTCAAAAGCAAATCAGATTAATATTTGTGTATCAAATTACATAATATTCACAACATAACTTCACTTTTTGGGACAATTTATGTCATAGCTTTCTTTTTTTTTTAAAGATTTTATTTATTTATTTGACAGAGACACAGCGAGAGAGGGAACACAAGCAGGGGGAGTGGGAGAGGGAGAAGCAGGCTTCCCATAGAGCAGGGCGCCCACCTGGGGGCTCAATCCCAGGACCCTGGGATCATGACCTGAGCCGAAGGCAGATGCTTATCGACTGAGCCACCCAGGCATCCTTATGTCATAACTTTCATGTTAATTTCTCAGTTACTCGTGATTTGATGAGTTGATGTACTCATCATAAATTAGACCTGAATTAACATACATGTTAGATTAAATGTCTGTGTCCAAATGTGAAATGAAACTTATTTTCTTCTCTTTGCTTCTTTGGGATTAGATTGATCCACATATGACCTTTATTTAAGGTTCACATAAATTTTTTATAAAACCCATATATAGAAACCCAGTACTTCTCCTAGCCACATGTGGCTCTTTCTTTTGTTATTTCCCCTCTGGAGGGTACCAAACAAAATCGATGGAATTATTAGTATACTTTGGAAAATGTTTTTCCTTTGGAAATATTCAATGTACACAGAAGTAGTGAGAACAGAATAGTGGACTTGTGTGCATTACTATGTAGTTTCAACTATTACTTGTATTTTATCAATCTTTACATTTGAAGTCTGGCCTTTCTTACGCTTTCTTGTTCAGATCATACTTCAATCTGGCTATTTTAGATTCTGGTCAAATCTGGCCACATAAATGTGTTGTTTAACTCTTATGGCAAGGCATATGTCTGGATAAAAGATAGGAGGTGCCAGGAGGTAGGAATAGTAGACATAAATTGGTCTAACTTCAATGCAGAGGACTGGAGACCCTTAGCCAGTATTTGGGAAGGATTGTGTGGATGACAATTAGAGACTCTTCAGAGCCATTTGACTACTACTCTACTTGACCTTATTGATAGATTTCTCTTTATCCATGTCTCTCTGTGATTAGATATATTTATTTTAAAAATTTGTAATTTCAAAACATGGTTTTTTTTTTCCCCTCTCCTTTAATTTTTAGGTTTTACCCAGAGATACCTGAGGCTTTCTTAATTTTTTATTTTTTTATTTGAGAATTCCTCATCTTTCAGTAGTATTTTCTCAACCATCCTTTCTTCAGCTGACAGTATGCTTTAAAATGTGTATTTTTTTTTTTAATATATAGTATTCAAGAGGATAATAAAGTCCCAGTTCTAAAGACTCGATTTCAGAAACCAAAGCCAAATATAGGAAGAGGAGCTAGAAGAAGAGAAATTTTCTCAAAGGAAGCGGTGTCAGAGGAGATTGTTACATCTGGGCAATTCACAGCGCCTTTGGGAGAAATTACGAGAGTGGAAGAAACCTTACCAAGGGAGAGTATATTAGTGGAGGCTAATACTACTAAGGAAATGGAGTCATATTTAAAAAAAACTGAAAGAAACAACTCTCCCAGAGAGAAGATACCAGAAATGAGGGACAGCACTGTGGATATGGAGACAGATTTGAAAGAAACTGGAAGAGAGGTTTCTCCAAAGGACACTATATCAGAGGTGTCTGATGTCATTGAGGAAAGTGTGACAGATTTGGAAGAAACTGGAAGAGAGGTTTCCCCAAGGGACACTATATCAGAGGTGTCTGATGTCACTGAGGAAAGAGTGACAGATTTGGAAGAAACTGGAAGAGAGGTTTCCCCAAGGGACACTATATCAGAGGTGTCTGATGTCACTGAGGAAAGAGTGACAGATTTGGAAGAAACTGGAAGAAGAGAAATATCCCTACAGGAAAATGCCCTGGAGGTCAGCACTACAGATGAAGTAGAAACAGGTTTAGAAGAAACTGGAAGTGAGGTTTCTGTAAGGGAAAATGTACCAGAGATGGTTGATGCTACTGAGGACAGAGAAACACATTTGGAAAAAACTGAAAGAAGAGAAATAGGCACAGAAGGAAAGGCCCCACAGGTCGAGACTCAAGGTGAAATGGAGACAGATTGGAAAGAAATTGAAAAAGGAACTTCCCTGAGAGAAAAGGTACTAGTGGGTATCAGTGCCATGGGGGAAAGGGAGATTGATTTGAAAGAAACTGGAGAAAGAGACCTTTCCCTGATGGAAGAGGTATCAGGAAAGATGACTGCTACTGAAGAAACAGAGGTGGAATCAAAAGAAACTGGAGGAGACATTTCCCTGAAGAAAAGCAGATCAGAAGAGATTAATGCCCCTGAAGAAATGGCTGCAGATGTGGAAAAAACTGGAAAAATAGATATTTCTCTAAGGAAAAATGGAGCAGAGACTAGGACCTCAAGACAAACGGACACAGATTTAATGCAGAGCAGTAGTAGTTGCTGCAGCACTATGCCTTCACTAAATACCAAAGTATGTCTTTTTCTGTTCTTTAGAAAAACTGTTTTTGAACACTTTTTCAGAGAAAAATTATCAGAATAAAAGCCGTGATTATTGCTCTTAAATCCCACAACATTTAAAATCTCTAAAAGCTTAAAGTCTTTTGCAGCCCTAAATTGTTTTAGGACCTTATAGAAACTATGCACTTTAAAAAAAAAAAAATTTAATTGTGTATTAAGTTACCATTCTTAGTGTCAGTTTGAAGTTACTCTTAGCTAAAGGAGTGTAGGGAATTGGACTGAATTAATGGTAACTCTAGTATGAACATGCATTAGAATTATTTCTTTTGACCAAATGTCTCTCTCAGTTTTTATTTCCTGTCCCACTCCACTTTTATTTTTACTTTTTTATTTTTTAGATTATTTATTTAGAGAGAGTGAGTGGGAGGGGCAGAGGGAGAGAGACAATCCCAAGCACACTGTGCACTGAGCATGGAGCTCGACATAGGGCTGAATCTTAAAACCCTGAGATCATGAGCTGAAACCAAGTCAGATGCTTAACTGACTGAGCCATCCAGGTGCCCCCCACCCCCACTCCACTTTTAAATTTTCTTTTTTTCTTTGTTTTTAAATTTTTAAGTTTTATTTTATTTTAGAAAGACAGTGAGAGAGAGTGCAAATGGTGTAGGGGCAGAGGGAGAGAGTGAAAGAATCTAAGGCATGCTCCATGGTCAGCACAAAGCCCAATCTGGGGCGTGATCTCACATCCCCGAAATCATGACCTGAGCTAAAATCGAGAGTTGGATGCCCAGGTGACTGAGCTACCCAGGTGCCCCTAAAATTTATAAAATATTTCCAGTGGGGTTGCCTGGCTGGCTCAGTTGGGGGATCATGTGACTTTTTTTTTTTTTTTTTTTACCATGTGACTCTTGATCTTGGGGTTGTAGGTTTGAGCTGCACGTTGGGTGTACAGATTACCTAAAAATAAAATCTTTAAAAAACCCAAAAGTTTCTAGTTACTTGAAGTTCACACAGTTGTGGCATTATCCATTTGTGCTGATTTACTGTGGTTGATTTCCTGTGACTATTCCTCCAGAACGTTAGCAGTGAAGTACTATCCATGGTGCATACACCTGAAGAAGAAAAAAGAAATTCTGAAAAGGAACTGTCAGGTCACTTGAGTTGTTTGAAGACTTCTTTGCAGACTTCTGAACCTGATAAAACAGAAGACCGGGGGATGCTATCTCCAGATGTTCCAGAGCAGTTTTCAGATACTAATTTAAGGTACAAGTATATTGGTCTATGTGCTTTTAAAGACAAAGCATCTATTTTTTAAATTTTTAATTTTTTTTAAAGATTTTTATTTATTAGAGAGTGAGCAAGATCAGGGAGAGGGTAAGAAGAGGGAGAAACAGGCCCCCCGCTGAGCAGGGAGCCCGATATGGGGCTTGATCCCAGGACCCTGGGCTCATGACCTGAGACAAAGGTAGATGCTCAACTGACTGAGCCACCTGTGCACCCAAGACAAAGCATCTAAAGTTATATTATCAGATTATCAGTAAGGTTTCGAGACATATTTATAGCATAGTGTTACAGATTTTAAGCTTTGGGATGTTTGGAAGAGAATTTTGAGGTCGTTGTGACAGTAGATTGAGAGAATTACTAACATCAGAATTGTATGTAACACATACTCCTAAGTTAATATGGTTGTGAGAACCCGTATTTCCTCTTTGCACAGATGATAGGCTTATACTTCATTTGTACTCCTCATATATTTTAGGATCTACCAAATAGTCCAGTTTGTTTTTCCTGTTAAGAATTAGGGGCACCTAGGTGGCTCATTCGTTAAGCATCTGCCTTCGGCTCAGGTCATGATCCCAGGGTCCTGGGATCAAGCCCCACATTGGGCTCCCTGCTTGGCAGGAAGCCTGCTTCTCTCTCTGCCACTCCCCCTGCTTGTGTTCCTGCTCTTGCTATCTCTCTGTCAAATAAATAAATAAAATCTTTAAAAAAATTAGATTTAATATTTCCTGCCAATTTCTCAAGTTGTCCTAAGACTCTATTCTTGTTGCCCCTTCAACTCTAACGTTCAATAATCTTTTTTCCAAAAGCAAATCTCTTCCTCAAGAGCAGAAGCCACTTGAAGTTAAACCAGCACCTTTTGTGAGAAGTCGATTCAAAAGACCAAAACCAAACTTAGCAAGAGCAACTTTAAAGAGAGAGACTACAGAAGCAGAAAAATATGTATCTGGGAAGAAATTGGAAACTGATAATACTGAGACCGTTGTGGTACAGCAGGGCAGTGACCAGATGAACAGTCTCCCTTCTCAACATGTGAGTGCTATTCAAGGTGGATGTTCTTTGTTTTAGCTATTATGCTAAACAGCTGGGGTTAACATTTAACAAATATTTTCTCATATAATTTCTACTGCATGTGGTATTAGTCTTGTTATACTTACTGTGCCTCACCATTCCATGTGGTTTTGTAAGAATCTTATCTCATGATGGGCAAGTATGTCATGGAAAGGAATTTAAGAGTCCTGGGATCTAAGTTCTGACCTTTATTCATCATGTGATCATAGCCAAATGATGCAGCTAGTTTCTTCACAGAAAAAATGAGTTTGATAGTCATTCTTTATTTTACTTTGTTGTTAAGGTGAATTAAAAAGTTAAAAGCTTGATAGGAGTTAAAGGAGATGTTTTATTTACTTTGTTAACTTGTTCCATAACAAATTAAGATTGTGTGATATAATATCAAAAATGTTGAATGGAAATGTTAACACTTGCAAGTTGAGTGTTCTAAATATAAAAGTACTTTTTTGGCCATACAGATGGGCAACAGGTACATGAAGAAATCCTCAACATCACTAATCATCAGGAAAATGCAAATCAAAACCACAGTGAGCTCTCATCTCCCACCAGACAGAATAACTAGTCAAAAAGACAAGAAATAGCAAGTGTTGGTAAGGATGTAGAGAGAAAGGAACCCTCATGCACTGTTGGTGGGAATGTAAATTGGTGTAACCACTGTGGAAAACAGTATGGAGGGTCCTCAAAAAATAAAAAAAGAATTACTATATCCAGTACTTCTAGTAGTGAGTATTTGCCCAAAGAATATGAAAAAACTAATTCCAAAAGATGGACGCACCCTTATGTTTATCCTAACATTATTGACAGTAGAGAAGATAGGAAAGCAACCAAAGTGCCCACCAATAGATTAATGGATAAAGAAGATAAGTTATATATATATATATACACAATGGAATATTACCCAGCCATAAAAAAGAATGAGATGTTGCCATTTACAATAACATGGATGGGCCTAGAAGTCCATTTTGTCAAGTGAAATACTATGCTAAGAGAAGTAAGTAAGTCAGAGAAAGACCAAATACCATATAATTTCCCTTACATGTGGAATCTGAAAAATAAAACAAAAAAACAGGAACAGACTCAAATACAGAGAACAAACTGGTGGTTACCAGAGGAGAAGGGGGTGGGGAGTTGGGGGGAAAAGGGAATTGATTAAGAGGTACAAACTTCCCAGGGCCCTTGGCTGGCTTAGTTGGTAGACCATGCAACTCTTGATCTTGGGGTTGTAAGTTCGAACCTCATATTGGGTGTAGAGATTACTTAAAAGTAAGATCTTTTAAGAAGCACAAACTTTCAGTCATGAAATCAGTAACTAACAGAGATAAAAAGTACAGCATAGGGAATGTAGTTAATAATATAGTAACATATGTGTGGTTATAGGTAGTGACTATACTTACCATGGTGAATATTGAGTGGTGTATATAATTGTTGAATCACTGTGTTGTACATATAAAACATAAAACATTGTATGTCAACTATACTTTAATAATAATAAAGACAAGTTCATAAAAATTATTAAAATGTATTTTTTAAAAAGTGCAATTTTGGAATTAAATTCTTTTATGTTTTATTTATTTATTTGAGAGAGAAAGAGAGCATGAAGGGGGGAGGGTCAGAAGGAGAAGCAGATTCCCCACTGAGCAGGGAGCCCGATGCGGGGCTCGATCCTGGGACTCCAGGATCATGACCTGAGCCGAAGGCAGATGCTTAACCAACTGAGCCACCCAGGTGCCCCTTCTTTTATGTTTTAAAATAGCTTAGTTCTGGGGTCCCTGGGTGGCTCAGTTGGTTAAGTGTCCACCTCTTGATTTTGGCTCAGGTCTTGATCTCAGGGTCGTGAGTTCAAGCCCAGTGTGGAGCCCACTTAAAAACAAATAAGATAAAATAGCTTAGTTCTTACAATGCTTGAAAATTTGTACTTTTTCTGCCTGATCTTATATTTTAAAAAGATATATCTTTTTTTATTGATTATCTATCTGATTATAAAAATTTCACATTGAAAAAATATGTAATCTAAAAAGTGAGAGTCCATTATAATGTCTCATTTCTACCTCCCAAGTTAATCAGTCATGTAGTTATTTTGAATATACCCACCCAGCCTTTTCTATATAGATACTTATTTATATAAACAATAAAATGTGTGGGTATTTCCATTGTTTTCCAAAAATGGCATTATAACTTGCCTTCTCATTTTTTCACTTAACATAATATTGTGAACATATTTTTGGATCAGCATATACAGATCTATCTTCTAAATGGCTCTGGACTATTCCATTATAAACAAATTATAATTTATTTGATACCATACTGATAGGTTTGTCTTGTTCCCAGTGTTTTGATTTTGTTCTTGTTTTTTTGGGGGGCTATTTAAATGGGTATAATTAATATCTTTGTATGTACTTTTCCATATACTTACTTGAGTATTTTTGTAAGATACATTTCTAGAAGTAAATTTGCTGAGAATTAAAATTTTTGGTAGATACCGTTGTTGTCCTCTACAGAGACTTTACCAATTTATTTTGCTGGTAGTGTATGAAAGTTCCTGTTTCCCTATACTTTTATCAACCCTCAGTGAAATTTTTCTTATTTGCCTTCTAGGGTGTGGCTTCCCTAATGACATCAAGAGAAAAAGACATATCAGGTCACAGGGAGGAGGAGTCTATAATATTACCATGTATACAGACTGAAAAGGACCTTTCACCTTTGAGTTCTTGTGATCCTAAAGAGCTGTCTCAGCCTACACAGGCCCAGGAAAAGGAATTAGTTGTTTCTACAGGGTAAACAGTGATACTTCTTTGAAAATATAAAATATATTTATATTTAAAAAAAAAGGAAAATCTAAAATATGAGAGGATTCTTTCAAGTATTTCTTCATTGTTACTAAGATGTGTTAATGTATTTTAAAAGTGAATACCAAGAATACTTGGTTTATTTTTATCTTTTTTTAGTATTTTATTTTTATTTATTTATTTATTTTTAAGATTTTATTTATTTATTTTGACAGAGAGAGACACAGCGAGAGAGGGAACACAAGCAGGGGGAGTGGCAGGCAGAGGGAGAAGCAGGCTTTCCGCTGAGCAGGGAGCCCGATGTGGGCTCGATTACAGGACCCTGGGATCATGACCTGAGCCGAAGGCAGATGTTTTACAGCTAAGCTACCCAGGCACCCTCTTTTTTATTATTTTAAAAAAGATTTATTTATTTATTTGAGGGAGGGGGAGAGAGTGCTCAGGGAGGCAGAGGGGGAGGGAGAGAGAGTCTTAACCAGACTCCATGCTGAGCACACAGCCCTATGCAGGGTTTGATCTCATGACCCTGACATCACGACCTGAGCTGAAACCAAGAGTAGGATGCTTAACCAACTATGCCACCCAGGGCACCCCAAGAATACTTGGTTTATTTTTATTCATGTGTCAGACTGCCTGAAATAGAAAATCAACATTGAGTTAACACCTTTTAATGCTTGCCTGCTTGTATTCACCATTAGCTGCTTAAGGTTTTATACAAACCATTGCATTTAAAAATACATGTATATAAAGATTGTATTCATTATCTTGTTAAAAACTATAGTAAAAGGGGGCCTGGTGGCTCAGTCGATTAAGCGTCTGTCTTCAGCTCAGGTCATGATCCCGGGGTCCTGGGATGCAGCCCCGCTTTGGGTTCCCTACTCAGTGGGGAGTCTGCTTCTTCCTCTCCCTCTGCCTGCTGCTCCCCCTGCTTGTGTTCTCTCTGTCGAATAAGTAAATAAAATCTTTACAAAAAAAATTGTAGTAGAAGACTTATTTACTGTTTTAACCATTTTTTATGTATATGGTCTAGTGGTATTAATGCACATTCACAAGAATGTGCATTCACATTGTTTTGCAACAGTTACCACATATATCTTCAGAACTTTTTCATCTTCCCAACTGAAACTTTACCCATTAACAAGACCACACCATTCCCCGGCAACTACCTTTGTACTTTCTGTCTCCATGAATTTGAATCTTCTAGGTACATTATTTAAATTCATTACCTTTTGGGCGCCTGAGTGGCTCAGTTGGTTAAGCGACTGCCTTCGGCTCAGGTCATGATCCTGGAGTCCTGGGATCGAGTCTCGCATCGGGCTCCCTGCTCAGCAGGGAGTCTGCTTCTCCCTCGGACCCTACCCCCTCTCATGCTCTCTCTCTCTATCTCATTCTCTCTCTCAAATAAATAAATAAAATCTTTAAAAAAAATTCATTACCTTTTGAGGATTAAAATAGCTCTTTTTTTAAAAAAAGAATTTATTTATTTATTAGAGAGAGAGAGAGACAGCGAGAGAGGGAACACAAGCAGTGGGAGTGGGAGAGGGAGAAGCAGGCTTCTTGCGGAGCAGGGAGCCCGATGTGGGGCTTGATCCCAGGATCCTGGGATCATGACCTGAGCTGAAAGCAGACACTTAACGAACAACTGAGCCACCCAGGTGCCCCAATAGCTATTTTTTTAAAAATAAAAGAATATATATTTATCATTAAAGTAATTTGATTTTCCTTAAATGATACAAAATTTTTTTATAGTTTGTTAGAGAAGGTTCAGTTTTTGTCTTTACAGTAGTTTTCATCTTTTTACAGTCCAGTTCCCTCTCTTTCTCTTTGTCCTCTCTTCTAGGGCTCATAATACAAGCACTTTCCAGCAAGAAGTGAAGGAAAGCGTTATCCCAACTGCTCAAACAGTAAGGAGCCGATTTCAGAGACCCAGACCAAACATAAGAAAGACTGGACAGAGGCAAATAGAAAAAGGTGAAGCTGAAGGCATAATTAAGGAAGAAAGAACGATAGTACAAAAAGATGAAATTAAAAAGTTCTTGACTGTGGTGAGTTATTGTGATGTAATTGAGCCTTTTAATGCATGTTAAAATATGAAATGACAGCTCAGACTGGGTTTAGAATATAGGCATCTGACACTCTCATCAATGAATATATAACATATCTAGTTCTGTTCCAGATTTACCATTCTGGATTTTTTTTTAAGTGAAAATAGATTTTTTTTTTCCTAACTAATGAACGTATTCATTATGAAAATGTTCAATTAATACAAAATATCATAATGACTACCCCAGGCTTATTACCTTGAGGTAACCCCTGAAAACCTTCTGACATATTTTACTGGGTATATCTCCATGCATGCATATGTGTACACTTATGTAAACTTAAGTAATAAAATCTCTGGGGCACCTGGCTGGCTCAGGTGGTAGAGCATGCAAATCTTGATCTTCAGGTTGTAAATTCAAGCCCCACATAGGGTGTAGAGATTACCGAAACATAAAATAATTTTTTTAAATAGTAAAGTCATTGTGTACATGGTATTTTGTGACTTATTTTTTACTTAATATATTAAGTCACTTTTTGTATGTCATAAGTAGGAATTGCTACCAGGTACTTGATGTATGGAGATACATCATTTTTCATTGCTGCATAACATTCTGCTGTTTGACAGTTTAACCAGTCTTTTATTGATGTATCTTTTGGTATAAATCTAAGTAGTGTAATGCCCTTTTCAACAGATCTTGTTTCTTTGTCCTTCTTTTTCTCTGTCTACCAAGGGAAAAATCTAGATTGAGAGCGATTGTAATCCTTATTTGAAACATCCCTATCCCCAGAAGAAATCATTAGACTTTTTGGGAAAAAATCATTAAACTTTTTTGGTGGCGGGGTGGTGGTGGTGGTGGCTGTTCACAACAGATAATTATTTAGTTTTTGAAGTGTTCTGTAAACATAATTGCAATAATTGAAACTTTCTCTGAATTAGTTTTATTTTGGACAGCAAAACATGAACATTGCATACCTAGTTTGACTCTTAGTTTTGAAGAACTCAATACCTTTCTAAATGATTGAAATATTTTAGGAGGTGTGTTCAGTTGTAAAAAAAAATGGTACTTTTCTTTTGTCATTTTAGCCAAATTCTCCAATTGGAACTGAAATTGAAGTTGTATCCTCCAAAGTTTCAGAGTCACAGTATGAAAACCAGAGTCACATGGTTCTTGTAGAACCTCTTCATCTTAACAAAATAAATGTTTTAGATGAAAAGATGAGGTGAGTTTGCTTTTAATCAGTAAAGTGTAAAACTTTCTAAAGATAAAGTTTGGATAACTTGACATCAAGAAAGTTTGTGGAAGGATAAAACAATAATTATGAAACAATATTTTAAATATGCTTCTTCAAATGCTGTAAGAGTTGCATGATTGATATTCTCTTAATTTATAATTTCTGTACAAAGTTTGGTGAGCCTCCTCGTTTTTTATTTTAAAACTAAATTTAGGGGCCCCTGGGTAGCTCAGATGGTTAAGTGTCTGCCTTCGGCTCAGGTCATGATCCCAGGGTCCTGGGATCCGGCCCTGCGTCAGGCTCCCTGCTCGGCGGGGAGTCTACTTTTCCCTCTCCCTCTACTGTTTAGCCTGCTTGTGCTCTCTCTCTCTCTCTCATTGTCAAATAAATAAATAAAATCTTTAAAAAAAACCAAAACCAAAATTTAGTAGTAGACAGAAGTTCTTAAGTTCTTTGTATATTTAGAAATTTATATCCTACTGACTAAAATTCGTAAGTAGGAATTGCTACCAGGTACTTAGTATCTGCTATATTTAGAATTGTGTCCCAAACCAAATGGTAAGAATAGTATCTTTTAAATGAGTTAGACTAGAAAGGTGAAGATCTTTCAGTACTCTACCACTTTTATTAATTACTTACAATCTGCTTTATTATTACTGATACTACTTTTTTTAAAAAAATATTTGTTTTAGAGAGAGAGCGAGCCCATGTAGGTGCATGTGTGTGAGTGAGCAGGGAGAGGGGCGGAGGGAGAGGGAGAGAGAATCTCAAGCATTCTCCCCTCTGAGCACCGAGCCCCATGCAGGCCTCAATCTCATGGCCCTGAAATCATGACCCGAGCCAAAATCAGGAGTTGGACTCTTAACCAACTGAGCCACCCAGGCACCTTAATACTACATTTTGATTATCAGTGATCTAAGAATGCTTCATTGCAAGGGTACCACTAGAGAGAAGACCCAAAAGTGAAGGAACAGCAGGCCCAGGGGATGTTTAAGGGGAGAGGGAACAGCAGCTCGAAAGTACTTAAGGAAAGAGCATGCCTGGCTTGTTTGAGGAACCGTGAAGGGAGCTAGTATGAAACGGGGAAAGAGAGGGAGTAGCAGATGTAGGAAAGGGTAAAGGCTGACTAGGGAGAATGACAGATTATATAGGACCATTGTAAGGAATTTGATTTTGACTCTACTGAGCCTTTAAAGACTAGTGACCTTCAAGGTCAGCCTCTCCTAATGCTCTCATTTATAATTGACTAGTTAGACCAAGAGAATTTGAATGGCTTGTTCAAAATAACACTGGTAAATTAGTTTTTAAACTTAAGTTTTCAGAATTTATGACTTTCAGACTAGCAGATTTGTGTAGTTATATAAGCAGACCTTCCTGAAAGAAACCTTATATGTTTCAAGAGATTTTATGCTGAACTTGTGTTTTTAATGAGAGAAATCAAACTTTTAATTTCTTTATGGAAACCCATGCTCCACCCCACCCTACCTCCCTTTTTTTCTTTTGAAAAACCTTTTTCTGTTCATGAAATTTATTCCAGCTGTTCACTTTATCATGACTGATACTTTCTTCAGAGTAAAAATCTTTATAGTTTTAAAATTAGATTGTTCCTAAGTCCAGTATTGTCTTGTCCCTTTTTGACTCAAGTAGCACGTTAGGTTTATATATGTATTTTATTTTTACTTGCTTTTGTAGAATCACACTTGACTGTAAATAGCTTACATTAAATATAATCTATTTTCCTAAATACATTGGCCTACATTTGAATGTATTTAGCCAGCGTCATAACCTTGTTAGGATTTCCTGTTAACTTCCTTGTGTTTCACTGCCAGAGGAGCTTAGCATAGTTGGAACATTTGGAAATGTAACTAATTTATTAGAAATACTACTTAAGATTAGTCTTTAATATAGATCTTTCAGAGAACTCCTGATAGATACTTATATACCTAATTTTCTTTATAATATCCAGGTTTATATTAGTTTTAAACTTCCCAATTCAGAATTCAGATCCTTGCCAGTTATTAAAATATTTTCCAGGAAAATTTAAGATAGCTCTTCAGGGGTTGTCTTGGGAGCTATACCTACTCTATCGAATGTTAAACCTTGTCTTTTTCTGATTTGGCAGATATAAAATCATTATATTGAGGTCCTATGACACTGGCTGTCAGTAAACCCTTTTCCATAAACTGACAGGTCTGTGATGGGATAATGGACTCTGGCTTTTAAGTCTGGTCTTGAACCAGAAGGATCAAGGATGTTGTGACCATTGTATATTTGTTCATGCTTCAGAGCCCAGTTGAAGATATTTGTATAAAGTACCATTATGAAATCCATGTTCAACTACTGGCCTTTTTTTTTATATCTAGTTATTTCTCCGAAAATTACTTAAAGTACCATGACATTACACACCAGAATCAATGAATGAAAGTAAAAAAAGATTAATATTACTGAAAACTATTTTCCAGAATGTACAGAAAATGGAAATTATAAAAGCTTTTACATTCTTTTTATCAGCATGTGTGGTTTCATTTTATGTGCTTGGTTTTAAAGCCAATTTATATATAGTCCTTTGAACATAGTATTGGTTTGTGTTCAAAATTGTTTGATATAACAGCTGTCCTATCAATAAGGAATTCTGATTTTCGTTTTTCATCATGATTTGTACTTCATTCTAGACATGAACCTAAAAGGTCTGTTCCCAGTGTAGCACATTTGGTAAGAAGGCAATTCCAAAAGGCTAAACCAAATTTGGGAAGAGCACATGGTAAGAAAGAGGAACCAGGCATAGAAAAACACAGAGCAGATCAGAGTGAGGCAAGGAAGCCAGAAGATAATTTGCTGCAGCCAGGAGATTCTGACACTCATCTCCTTCAAAAAGTAAGTTTGAAAAAAACACTTTTTGTCAATGGGCTCTGTTTTGTCAAGATCATGAAGGAGAAAATTTTAAAAAATACAGTTTTGTCTTTTGTACTGTAACCAATTTTATAAAAATTGAGTGACTTTCTAATATTATAAAATGTTAGAAACCAGTCACTGTTTGTGTGTGTGTGTGTGTGTGTGTGTGTGTAAGCTTAGAGCTTTAGGCCCAGCCACTCAACCAAATTATCATAAAGATTGTTTCCATGGTAATATTAGCTGTTTCTTCTTAAATTTAAGGAAAAGGCTGAGTTTCTGACATCTTTGGAGGTTTCAGCAAGAAAAGATTGTGTAGATTCCACAGAGGCCTCTTTGGCCAAAAACAATGCTCCTTCAGAAGTTGGACCATCAGGAAGCGGAGAAAAAACTGTAGGGGATAAATCTGTGTCTTCGGTTGCTGAAGAGCAGTGTCTTCGTAAACTATCAAGGTAAAGTTTTATTTAACAAATACTTTCAGAATAAGAAAAATAACATTTTATGGATGTCCTGCCATAACTTATTTGTAGAGTAAAAAGATGGTCTGTTAACAGAAGTGTAGATTGTTTGTTAATTGCAGGTCTGTTCCTTTCCCACTTAGGATTTTTATTTGCTAAAGTTTACCTTTTACTGATGTTCTTAGGAAGATTTTTCTTTCCTACAGTTAAAATTTCTGGATGTTGAGTATATTAGACTTGAGCGGAAGCCTGACCAAAGAGTAGTATCTATTACCTAAGTAATTAAAGTGCTAGTTCAAGTGGGGTCACAAATACAACTGAAGGGTACTCACGTTCTGTAGTTTTTAAGGAGAGTGGAAAAGAACTTAAGTTCTAGAAAACAACATTGTTCTGATGGATTTTTTGCCTTCCTTTCTTTATTTTAACCTAGTCTGTTTACCCAGTAGTATCACTTCTTTTTGAGCTCATTTTGTTTTACGGGACCATTTTCCTTTTCTCATTTTCTTCTAATAATTTCCAGTCTTGTATCTCATTTTCACTTAAATAGCAAGGAAAAAATGGCCCAGAATTAACTTACTCTGAAAAATTTGTAGGTAGATAACTAAGAATGAACTCTGAATAAGAAACTAGTAGTAATAGTACATTTCTTTCTTCATTTCACAGAGTAAGTTTTTGACATTATGGGTTGTGGGCATTTTCATTTTAATGGCTTGAAGTTTGATTTCATTCTGAAATTTCCGTTTCATTAAAATATCCTCCTTGTGCATGTAATGACTAAATTGTTATTTTGATTAAACATCCAGCTCTCCACAGCTGTTAAAAGAATCAAATTACTCTAAAATTGGTCTGGATCGAAGAGCAACTGTCTCTTCTGCTTCTGAGTGTGAGGTAGATCATAGTGGAAGGAGAATGCATCGCAAGATGAAACCAAGTGTCACCAGAGGGCGTGGATCAAAACGAGTTCGAAGTAAGACCTTTAAGAAGGAACCTCGAGCTTCCAAGGCCACGCTGGTGACTCTTCGGGCTTCGCAGGAAGAAGATGAAGATGATGATGAAGATTTTGAGCCTGATTATGAAGACGAAAGTTACCATCTTGCTCCAGAAGAAGTAAACAAAGCTCCAGTGTTTGTTCCCATTGGTCTCAGGTCTCCCGAACCTGTTTCTGCTCAGATCGAGGAAACGATGGAAGAGGTAGTTTGTTTTTTGAATTCTTAGAACTCTGTCTTGTTTTTTCTTTTAGTGTATCATTGTTTCTTCTTAGTGATTATTAAGATTTGAAAAGTTTGTTCTCTAAATAGCCTCTAACAAATGTAGTTTGTTTGAGGCCTGAGGGATATCTGAAGGAACCAGTAGAAGGAACCTCCTGTGATTATTTAACCTCTATGACCCAGGCCCACCATGAGGTAGTCATTGTAATAATAAGGATGGAAATCTAATTTCATTTGTATGTGGAGGCTGCTTAATCTACTTTCTGATTCATTTTTCTTTTTCATTTTGGCAGGTGTTTTCTGTTAACTCTCTGATAGGCTGAGGCTGGTTAGTAGAGAATGTAGAAGGGACATTTTTAAATTTTTTTCTTTTTAAAAATTTTGGTAAAATACACATAAAATTTATCATCTTAGCACACATTTTAAGTGTGTAGTTCAGCGGCATTAAGTGCATTCATATTATTGTGCTACACCATCACCACCGTCCCGATCTACAGAACTTTTTTTGTCTTGCAGAACTAAAACTGTACCCATTAAATGATAGTTTCCCATTACCTCCTCCCCTCTTGCCTATGGCAAACACCATTCTACTTTCGTCTTTATGACATTACTCTAGGTACTTCATGTAACTGGAATCATACAGTATCTGTCCTCATTGTAACTGGTTTATTTCATTGAGTATAAAGTTGTTAGGGTTCATCCATATTGAAGCATGTGTCGGAATGGTCTTTTTTTAAGGTTGAATAGTATTTAATCATGTAGTTATACCACATTTTGTTTATCTTTTCATCTGTCAGTGGACAGTTGGGTTGCTTCCACCTTTTGGCTATTATTGCAGAGAGTGCTGCTATGAACATGGGTGTACAAATACCCCTTCTAAACCCTGTTCTCAATTCTTTTGGGGATATACCTCAAAGTGGAGTCACTGAATTATATGGTAAATTGTACACCAATTTTTACTATTTTGAAAAACCGCCATACTGTTTCCATAGCAGTTGTATCATTTTACTTTCCTATCAGTAGTGTACAGGGGTTCTGATTTCTCCACATTCTCACCAGCCCTTTTATTTATTTTTCAGAATAGCCATCCTAATGGACAGGAGGTGGAGGAACATAATATTTCAACTTACTTTGTTATAAGAGCTCCTTTTTTGCCTCTTGGTCTAGTATTCCAGCTTTGTTTCTGCCTCAATTTTCAGTAATTTACTTGGCTTAAAGAGCAGCACAACTGCATCTCTTTTGTATTAAGCATTTGTGATTGTTTCTGAGTCATTTGCAACAGAATTAGGAATTAACTGAGGTAGTAGTGATGATAATAATGAAAGAAGTAGGAAACTTAAACCAATTCAAGTAATGTTGAATCCAGAATTAACGGATTATTGAATCTGTAACTTCACATTTATGATGAATGGAAGTCCACAACCATGTTTACTTATTCACTGTTAGTAATCACATACTAGATGATATAAAGTTAATGAGTTAGAATGGTTGAAATTAAATAAAAATGATGCAAAATGAAATTTCTTATAACTGAAAGTTCAAAGTTGAAGATAGTGAATTTACGTTTTATTTGAAACCAAGAAAATGCAAAAGGAAAGTTAATTTTTTTGCAAGGACACCTGGTTAACACTGCATGAGAATTCATTTAGCTATACGTTTTGTATTTTACTGATTCTGTTGGTTGAAAGGCACATTGTTAAGTGAAAGAAGTCAGTTGCAAAAGAATCACATAATCACATAATTATCCATTCATATGAAATGTCTCAAACAGGAAAATCTGTAGAGATAGAAAGTAGATTAGTGGTTTGGCTTAGGGATTTGGAGATGAGGGGTTAAGAGAGTGATAACTAATGGATATGGGGTTCATTTCTGAAGTGATGAAAATGTTCTAAAAGTGACCGTGGTGATGGTTACACATATCTGTGCATATTCTAAAAACATCAAATTATATACGTGGGTGAATTCTTGGTATGTGAGTCGTTATCTCGGTAAAGCTGTTTAAAAAAAAATAAAGCTTTGAAACTGGATAGTGCCAATTTTCGAATATCTACAATATTTCCATTTGTCATCCATTCCCAACTCTTCAGAAAATACTTGGTTTTTTCAAATCACTTTAACTTTCTCATTCATCCCTGGCCTATAGGATAGTAGCAAAGATTTTTCTCTAATATTTGCTTCTGAAAAAACAGGTACAGAATGCACAAGTGTTACTATAGTAATTATATCTATCATGAAGGCAGATTTTCATACTTGACTCTTTACTCACTTTCTATTGAATCATTGTTTTTTATACTTACCTCTCTGTAAATAAAGGGCTAGAAGCCAGATTGTCTTGTATATGGTCTAGGAGATAAATCTTAGTCCTTTAGTCCCCAGATCATAGGGATCTATGACCAAAAAGACTACTACATGAGTAAATGTGAATGAATTCAGTTTTTTACGTGTCCATTGCCATGGCTATCATGGGGTTGTGGGAGAGGGTAGTTGTCTTGGTGCAGGGGCGGACGTACGGTAAATCTTTTTAAAGTGCTTTCAACTCATCTTTATTACAGCACTGAAGATGGTGTATAGTTAGAAAATTGCATGTCTGTTTTTGTGAGATTGTGAATTCCTTGAGGGCAGGGACCAAACTTGCCTTATTTCAGCTTTGTACCCTTGTATCTGTAGCCTAGTTTTTAGGAAGCACTCCATAAATATTCACAGATTGATGAGAGAAATTATGGGAACATAGAGACAAAGTGGGAATAGTAGAAAGTGAAAGGCTAGGTACTAAGAAGATTACTTTGGAAATTCTGTTTACTATTTGTAAGGATCACAGACCCCTCAAAGCTTAAATGTTTTACTTTGCCAAGTTGATGTCGAGTTACTATATTTGTTTTTAATTGTGTGTGAATGTGGGTTGTTTATTCAGTTTAACACTCTATTTTACTTAGTCATTTTTGTTTTACTGACTGTAGTATGCCAAAATGAAATAATGAAACTTCTCATTTTGACAGCTTGAAATAACTGTGAATGTACCAGATATAGGCATAGCTGTTGTTGAACATCCACTCTCAAACACAGATGTGACTACTCAGGAGATGAAACAAGAAGAAAATTTGAAGGCATTATCTGTTGTAAGCATCCATTGTAATATGTTTTGTTTTTAACTCTTTGTTTACTTTCAAAAGAATGGAGATTTATTTTGAAATCTTTAAGTTTACAAGCCATTCTTACTAATTTCTTTCATGTAGGGAGCTGTAAGTATGAATAGTAGAAACTGGTGAATAATCCATAGATTTTGTATTTCACTTGGAAAGCATTGATTTTTGTGTGTGTGCGCGTGAATAACTCTTAAGATCCTCATAAACTTATGTTAAAGTTCTGTTGCATTAAATCTATATTGAATATAAATTACTTAAAATACATTTAGTTGCATTTTGTTTGGTACTCTTCCTTATTTGGTTAGTTTTTCTCTTGTTTTTGGATAAGAAGATTGGGAATTATACTTTTTCAACAACTTTATTTTTTTTAATTGTTTTTTTTAAAAAGATTTTATTTATTTATTTGAGAGAGAGCGAGGGAGGGAGAGAGAGCACAGAGGGAGAGGGGGACTCCCCGCTGAGCAGAGAGCCCAAAGCGGGGCTTGATCCCAGGACCCTGGATCATGACCTGAGTTGAAGGCAGATGCTTAACCGACTGAGCCGCCCAGGTGCCCCTTTTAACAACTTAAGATATAGCTCACACACCAAATAAGTCACGCACTGAAAATGTACAATTCATTGGTTTCTGCTATATTTATAGATATTGTGCAATCATTGTAACAGTCAATTTTAGAGCATTTTCGTCACCTCAAAAAGAAACCTTATGTCCCAAAGCAGTTGCTCCCCATTTCCTCTCAGCCCTCCCCAGGGTTAGGTAACCAGTAATCTACTTTTTGTCTCTATAGATTTGTCTATTCTGGATGTTTCATATAAATTGACTCATACAGTATGGTCTTTTATGCCTGGCTTTTTTCACTTAGCATACTCTTTTCAAGGTTCATCCACGTTCTAGCATGTATCAGTACTTCATTCTTTTTGTGGTCACATAACAGTCCATGTAGACAATACTGCGTTTTGTTTATCTCTTCATGTGTTCATGGACATTTAGGTTGTTTCCATCTTTTGGCTATTGTAAATAATGCTGCTGTAAACATTTGTATACAAGCTTCTGTACTGACATTGATTTTTTTTTTTAAGATTTTTATTTGTTTATTTGACAGAGACACAGCGAGAGAGGGAACACAAGCAGGGGGAGTGGGAGAGGGAGAAGCAGGCTTCCCACCAAGCAGGGAGCCTGATGTGGGGCTCGATCCCAGGACCCTGGGATCATGACCTGAGCCAAAGGCAGACGCTTAATGACTGAGCCACCCAGGCGCCCCAAAATACAATTGATTTTTGATTATTGGTCTTGTGTACTGCAACTTTGCTGAACTCTTTAGTTCTTTTTTTTTTTTGAATTTAGCTTTTATTCAAAATTAAATAAGCAAAAGTTTAAGAAACTTTTATAAAGTACTTACATAAAAGAAAGTTAATAGTGACAGTTTGCAACAAATAATTACAAAAGTATCTAGGGCAGCATGAATATAAACCATGTCACAGCATGGTGATCTAACTGTGATATGAATAAGGCATAACTAACATTTGCACCAAGACCAGAATTAAAAAATAAAACATACTTTTTTTTTAAAGATTTTATTTATTTATTTGAGAGAGAAAGAATGAGAGAGAGCATGAGAGGGAGGAAGGTCAGAGGGAGAAGCAGACTCCCTGCTGAGCAGGGGGCCTGATGCGGACTCGATCCTGGGACTCCAGGATCATGACCTGAGCTGAAGGCAGTCGCTTAACCAACTGAGCCACCCAGGTGCCCCTAAAACATACTTTAAAAGCTTAGTTCTACATTAAGCTTCTTTTCTTCCCCCAGATCCTTAATGGGTTTATACTCTGTAATTGTTTTAAACAGACACATCATGTCAAACTGTAAATTATATAGATTGGCAGTTAATGTGAAAAGCCTTCTAAAATGTACAAACTGGTACTGAATTGTGAGCTCTTTAGTTCTAATAGTTTTTTTTTTTTTTAGTGGATTCCTTAGGATTTCTACGTATAAGATCATGACATGTGAATAGAGACAAACTACTTCTGCCTTTCTGTATTAGTTTCTCAGTGCTGCTATAACAAAATTCCACGAACTAGGTGGTTCAAAATTACAGAAAGTTATTTTTTTTATAGTTCTGGGGCTAGAATTCCAAAATCAAGGTGCCACCTTCTGGAGGCTCTTAGGGAAAAACCATTCAGGCCTTTCTCCTACCTTCTGGCAGTTGTCAGCAGTCCTTGTCATTCCTTGGTTTGTGGCAGCACATTTCCAATTTCTGCCTCCATTGCCACATGGTGATCTCCCTGTATGTGTGTCTCTGTGACCTTTTTCTTTTTTTTTTTTTAAGATTTTATTTATTCATTTGACAGAGATAGATATAGTGAGAGAGGGAACACAAGCAGGGAGTGGGAGAGGGGGAAGCAGGCCTCCCGTGGAGCGAGGAGCCTGATACGGGGCTCAATCCCAGGACCCTGGGATCATGACCCGAGCCGAAGGCAGACGCTTAACGACTGAGCCACCCAGGTGCCCCTGTGACTTTTTTCTTTTAAAGACACCTGTCATAGTGGATAGGGCCAACCCTAATCTAGTATGACCTTCTCTTAACTATTACATCTAAAAAGGCCCTATTTCCAAATAAGGTTACATTCATGGTACTGGGGTTAGGAATTCAACATATCTTTCTGGGTGACAGAATTCAGTATATAACACTTTACCTTTTTTTTTTTTAAAGATTTTATTTATTTGACAGAGCACAAGTAGGGGGAGCGGCAGGCAGAGGGAGAGGGAGAGGGAGAAGCAGGTTCCCCACTGAGCAAGGAACCTGATGTGGGGCTGGATCCCAGGACCTTGGGATCATGACCTGAGCCGAAGGCAGACGCTTAACTGACTGAGCCACCCAAGGAGCCCCAGTTTACGATACTTTTCAATCTGGATGTCTTTTATTTCTATTGCTTGCCAAATTGCCCTTGCTAGAACCTCCAGTACACTGGTGAACAAAAGTGGCAAGAGTGAGCATTTTTGTCTCATTACTGGTCTTAGAGGAAAGTATCCAGTCTTTCACCATTAAGTTTGATGTTAGCTGTGGACTTTCCATAGATGTTTTATTTTTATCAAATTGAAGAAGTTCTAGTCTTTTCCTAGTTTGCATGACAGTATTATCATGAAAGGGTGTTGGAAGTTGTCATACGCTTTTTCTGCATCTGTTGAGATGATCAGGTGATTTTACCTTTTTATTGTATTGATATGATGTATTACATTGAATTTTGATGTTAAATAAAAAATTACATCCCTGGGATAAATCCTACTTGGCTGTGGCCTACAATTTTTATATGTTGCTGGATTTGGTTTGCTGGTATTTTATTGAGTTTTTTTTTTATGTGCAAGTTCATAATAATTCTATTTTCGATTACAAATCTGACACCAGATTCTTGTGGTGTCAGGAGCTGAAGTTCTGTTCTTCCTAGGAAGAAAGCCCTGCAGCTGGGGCTGGTAAGGAGAAAAGACCCTATTTTCTTGGTTGCAGGTTCTGAGGTGGGGTCTCTGCTTCACTGAGCTGAGAAGAAGGAGGGGGAGAGAGCAGTCTTAGTTCAAATACCACAGTCTCTCCGCTTTGTTACTGTATTTTCATCAGTTTTCTCAAAAAGGTGTTTCTTTCGCCTTAGGTCCATTTCCAGAGGCTTTACGTGTTTGTGTTTAATAGGGTCAGCAGAGCTCCTTATGATGTCATATTGGACATAAATCTTGTAACTTCTTCATTTGTTAAAATTCATTTAAGTTTTCACTAACCTAATTAAAAAATTGGCAGTATTCTTTAGTCTTTGGTTTCCACTGGTTTAAAACTATGGCAGATATGACTGAAGTTGAAGGATTATGAAAGTGAAGAAGTAAATTAAGAACAGTAGGTGCACATAGTAAATGCTATATGATTAGAGTTAAAAATTTGCATGTCATACAAGGAAAAGGTAAAATAAGGAGCAAGAGACAAAATAACTTGGCTTTTAAATTATTTCTGTATGAAATGTTAATAATTGTATAGGGAAAAAACAGTTTCCACTTCTTTGTAATCAAAACATTGAAGAACTGTAAAACATCATGGTTTTTGAGACACAGAACCTATATTTGGGAAAATACATAAGACATTGCTTATTTTTCCTCTTTTAGGAAATCAACACAGGTGAACATACCCAAGATGAAACAGGTAACTGTTAATAAGGAAACTGCTAAAACTACTTAGTTAACACTAACAAAGTGATTCAGTATTGGTGTTAGTTAGCAAATGAGTAATTTCACTGGAGAGTTGAAGAAAAAATTTTAACTGTTGAATATGTTATCTCCAGGAGAAACTTGGATTCTTGGAATAATTACCTTTTGAAGTGAGTTAAGAGTTAAATGTTTAATAAAGAAATATTACTTATTTCCTCTCCTCTGATTTGCACAGATATATTTTCTTTGAAGGTATTAAGTTATTTAATAGGAGGGAGGCATTTTCAATGAGTAAAAGCTAACAATGATTTCTTTTTTTGTAGTAACCAAACACTGCTCTAGTGAGGAATTAGTGGTATGCAGGACATTGAAACTTGTTCCAAAGGATAAATACTTGAATTAAAAATGTTTTCTAAGTAAGCAAACTTCAATTTCCAGCTTCATTTTTCTGTTTTAATGTTGGTATATTTCCTCACAAGGTACCAATGATGGAAGCACTGAAGCTGCTATAACTTTACTTACAATGGGAGATCTAGTGTTGCAATCAGAGATCGGTACAGAACAGAGTGATGGTAAGAATGAAAGTTAAGTCCTACTGGAAAAAACCTCTTAAAATACAACTTTTAAGAAATTATACCTGCAGTTGAGTAATAAGTCAGTACCGGCCTTTTACATTTGAAGTAGGCATTGCCAACTTTGTTTTTGTCCAGAGAAAGGTAACATGTGTGCATTGTTCCGTCTAACTTAGTCGCTTTAGATGTAGTGGCCACCATCTCAAAATAGTGCACTTGGTTTATTAAGAAAACTTTGTATTCCTGGAATAATCTAGTGAGTCCTTTACTTTTCTCATCATAAACATTGGTGAACTGAGCTCATTGATCACTGATCACTTGACACATGTTTCTTTAGCAAAGGAGCTTCTGCTTTGGATTGTCTTCACAGTTAACCTGATAATCACATATAGTATGAAGGGACAATAGCAGACAGTCGTTGAACTAATTTAATTGCGACTATTCTGTTAGTTTGGACTGAGCCAAAAGATAGGTCAACCTAGATTTTCACAGTATTTTAGGCTGACCTTATGGAATACCTTCCATTTTAAGTCTACTAAATGGATAGTTAATTATATTCCTGTTAATTATTTTGTCTGGAGATGAGTGGCCTGCCATTTATTTTAGGTGTTAGACTTCTAGGCCTATAACTATATATTTATCAGGAAATTTTTTTTTATTATGTTATATTAGTCCCCATACAGTAAATTTTCTGGTCTGTGGTCCTTACACAGTCTCATTTCTCTCTCGTGCGCGCACGCTCTCTCTCTCTCTCTTTTTTTTTTTTGAGTAAAATATATACCCAATGAGCGGCTTGAACTCATGACCCCAAGATCAAGAGTCACATGTTCTACTGACTGAGCCAGGCAGGTGTCTGAATACGGCTCCTTTCTCAATGGCAGAGGATTGTTTTGGAGCCTGTCATAAATCTCTAGTACATAAAAACGAGTTTTAAAAATTTGTAAATGAAGGTGATCCTGTCTTGAAACTCATTTGAGGCTATGTAGTTAGTCAAGGTAACAGATTCATTTTTACTTTTTTTTTTTTTAATTTTATTATTATGTATTTTTCAGAGAGAGCACAAGCAGGGAGAGCACAGGCAGAGGGAGAGGCGAAGCAGGACATGATCCCAGGACTCTGGGATCATGACTTGGGCCAAAGGCAGATGCCCAACTGACTGAGCCACCCAGGCATCCCTCATTTTTATTTCTAATAGCAGAAAAATTCTAGTCTGTAAGAATTATTAGGCTTAGAACAAGTCAGATCTCTGGCATAAACTATATGATCATATATTTTTTTTTTAAGATTTTTGAGAGAGAGAGCACACACATGAGTGGGGGGGAGGGGCAGAGGGAGAAGCAGACTCCCTGCTGGGCTGGGAGCCTACTGTGGGGCTCGATCCCAGGGCCCTGAGATCATGACCTTTAACTGACTGAGCCATCCAGGCGCCCTGATCATATATTTAAATTCAGAACCAAAAAGAGTAAACTTTAAAAATAATATAGAATTTTACAGTTGCTTAATGTTGAGGGATTTATTTACTTTGGACATCTACTTGTATTGGGTCAATTTTAATTTTCTGTTCTTTTCTGTAATAGGAGTATGTGTACTTCTTGATGTTCATTCAAAGGATAAAAGCTGTGTTCCTTTTAGCCCAGATAATGTAAATCACAAAATTGTTCGTGAATGTCAGGAGCTTTCTTCACCTGTCAATAGTACATCTCCTTCTTCATTAGAAGAAAACAAGATTGTATTGGAAGAGCAAAGTACTAAAGAAGAAATTGGTTTAGTGGAGAAAGTAAAGGAAAACGCTGTATCAACCAGGTTTATTTTGCTTTATTAAACTCTTGAGTTTTATAGTATTCAATTAATAAATACATTTAAACCAACTATCAATTTAGTTGATAGCTTTTGAGTAATACTTGTGTAAGTGTAAAGTAGGCACTGCTAATTTCCCAGCCTTTATTTTTTTAAAGATTTTATTTGAGAGAGAGTGTGAGCAAGAGAGAGAGAGAGAAGGAGCAGGGGGAGAGGCAGAGGGAGAGAGAGAAGCAGATTCCCTGCTGAGCAGGGAGCCTGACATGGGGCTCAATCCTTGGACTCAGGGATCATGACCTCAGCAGAAGGCAGACACTTAACTGACTGAGCCACCCAGGTGCTCCAGTTTCTCAGCCTTCAAAGTGAGGGTAGGCTGGTTTGATTTTAGTTTAATGGTTTGCTTTTTTTTTTTTTTAAGATTTTATTTATTTATTTGAGAGAGAGTGAGCATGAGCATGGGGAGGGGCAGAGGAAGAGGGATAAGCAGACTCCCCACTGAGCAGAGAGCCTGACATGAGGCTCAATCCTAGGACCTTGGGATCATGACCTGAGCTAAAGGCAGACACTCAACTGACTGAGCCACCCAGTTGCCTGTGGTTTGCATTTTTTTTTTTAATTTACTTTTTTAATGTATACTCAACACCCACCATGGGGCTTGAACTCAGGACCCTGAGATCAAGAGCCACATCCTCTACTCACTGAGCCAGCCAGGTGCCCCTAATGGTTTGCATATTAAACTAAATGTAGTATGTGCATCTTTGAAACTTTAATGAAATAGTTTTTTATGTAAATATGGTCTCTATTTTACAAACATGATCCAGATTCTCTTCCCTTCTCTAGACTGTCAGTAAAATTTACCACTCTTATGTTTTCAGCATTAAAAAATGAACACTTACAGATATTGTGGCACCTGAGAAGGTGGCACATAACTGTATCAGAATGTATGAAGGTGAGAGAGATAGTTATTACATGGTTGATGAATTTCTTTCTTCCCATCTTTTTCTAGGAATACAACTTCTGAAGTGACTGGTAATTTGAGAATGAGAAGTAGATTTGCCAAGCCTAAACCAAATCTTGAGACTTCAGGGACCAACAGGTTTGGTGTTCATCAGGAAGTTCCCAGTGTGTTTGTAAACAAAGGAGAAGTAGTAGAAAGTCAAAGAGGTAAATTATGTTCCCTTAAACAGCTACAAAATTACTTTTACAGGAGAAGTTGCATTTGCATTTCAAATGGAATATTCAGTTAAAATTATTTTAATTTAGTATTAAAGAGTTTCAAAAAGTAGAATGAGCTATAAAAGAAATACCAATAAATCCGTCAACTAGCTTCATTCATCATTATTATTTTCTATTTAGTTGACCCAAAATAACATGGGTTTGAACTGCATGGGTCCACTGTACGTGGATTTTTAAAAAAGAATTAATTAAGAGCCAAAGAGGGGACGGCGAGTGGGGAGGGAGAGCGAGAATTCCAAGCTGACTCTATGCTGAGCGTGGAACTTGATGCGGGGCTTGATATTGACCCTGAGATCATGACCCAAGCTGAAATCAAGGGTTGGACGCTTAACCAACTGAGCCACCCAGGTGCCCCTATACAATGGATTTTTTTTTTCTTTTTAACTTTTAAAATATGTTTTATTTGGAAATAATTTCAAAGTTACAGAAAACTTACAAGAATAAGAAATAGTACAAAGAACATCCAGATACCTCTTGCATATAAGCTTACACTTAATTATAAGTGGAATTTTTTTTATAAACATAGTACAGTCCTATAAATGTATTTTCTCTTCCTTATGATTTTCTTTTCTTTTTTTAAAATATTTATTTGAGAGAGAGGGAGACTGAGAGGGAGAAGCAGACTCCCCGCTGAGCAGGTAGCCCCATGCAGGGCTTGATCCCAGGACCCTGAGATCATGACCTGAGCCAAAGGCAGATGCTTAACCGACTGAGCTACTTGGGCGTCTCTTCCTTAATGATTTTCTTAATAACATTTTATTTGTTCTAGCTTACTTTATTGTAAGAATACAGTATCTAATACATGTAACTTAAAAAATATATGTTAATCTGTTTATGTCACCCGTAAGGCATCTGGTCAACAGTAGACTATTAGTAGTTAGGTTTTTTTGGGAATCGGATATGCAGAATTTCTACTGCATGGAAAGTTTGTGCCCTTAACCCCCATGTTGTTCAAGGGTTAACTGTATTTACTTAATCAATGTTTTCTTCATAGGTATTTTTTATGTGTGTCTGTGTACATGAATATTCAAGCAAACATTTTTTAGAAAGCTATACATGCATGTGGCAAAAAATAAGACATTGCCCATAAGGTATAAAATTTAATAAACTTGTTTGGTTCCTAGTCCCCTAATCTCATGTCTAGTGGTAAACTGCCATTAAGTTTTCATTGTGGACTTCCAGAAGTGTTTTATAAACATAAGCATCTAAATGTGGGGCTGTGTGTGTACATAGATACATCAATACACACACACACACACACACACGTATATAAATACATGTTACTCCTTTCAGAAAGAACAAAATTATAAGCAAACTATATCATATATACTGTTTAGCACATTTATTTATTTACTTACTTATTTTTTAAGATTGAGAGAGAGAGTACCTCGTGGAGAGGGAGAAGAAGAGAGAGTTGCAAGCCGACTCTGGGCTGAGCCTGGAGCCCCATGCAGGGCTTGATTCCATGACCCTGAGATCATGACCTGGGCTGAAACCAAGAGTTGGATGCTTAACCTACTGCATTAAATAGGCACCCCTTGTTCAGTACTTTTAAAAATAACAGTTTTACTGAAATAATTGTATACCATACAGTTAACCCATATGAAGTGTATACTTGAGTGGCATTTAGTATATTCCTCAAGTTGTGTAACCTTCACCATTAGTAGCCACTTCCCACATCCTTCAACCCTTCCCAGCCCTAGGCAACCACTGATCTACTTCGTCTCTGTAGCTTTGCCTATTTTGGACGTTTCATATAGATGGAATCGTATAATATGTGGCCTTTTGTGTCTGGTTTCTTTTAGCATGTTTTCAAGGCTCATCTATGTTGTAGCATGTGTCAAATATTTCTTTTTCTTGCCAAATATTCCATCATACTACATTTTGTTTATCCATTCAGGGCATTTAGGTTGTTTTCTGTTTTTTGGCTGTTTTAAGTAATGGTGCTAAGAACATTCATATGTAAGATTTTGTGTGGACATAAGTTTTCATTTGTCTTGGATTTACATTTACAAGTGGAATTGCTGGACTATATGGTAATTCTTTGTTTAACTTTTTGAAGAACTACCAGACTGTTTCAAAAGTGGTAGCAACATGGGACGCCTGGGTGGCTCAGTCGGTTAAGCATCTGCCTTCAGCTCAGGTCATGATCCCAGGGTCCTGGGATCGAGTCCCACATCGGGCTCCCTGCTCAGCGGGGAGCCTGCTTCTCCCTCTGCCTGCCGCTCCCCCTGCTTGTGCTCCTTCTGTCTCTCTCTGTCTCTGACAAATAAATAAATAAAATCTTTAAAAAAAAGAAGTAACATTTTGTATTTTCTTTTTTTTCTTTCTTTTTTTTTAGATTTTTGTTTGTTTTGTTTTATTTTTAAGTAATCTCTGTACCCAGTGTGGGGCTTGAACTTAAAACCCTGAAAAACCCTGAGATCAAGAGTCACATGCTCTACCAACTGAGCCATCCAGGTGGTCCAACAGTGTGTCTTTTCACCAACATTCTGTGAGGGTTTTAGTTTCTCTGTATCCTCTCTGACTCTTGTTATTAGATAGTCTAGTTAGCTTGAAGTGGTATCTCCTGATTTGGATTTGTATTTCTTTCATGACCAATGATACTGAGTATCTTTTAATGTGCTTATTTATATATTTTATTTAGAGACATGTGTTCATGTCTGTGCTCATTTTTTTTTAATTTTGTTTTATTTTTTTCTAAGTAGGCTCCACGCCCAGTGCCCAGCGTGGAGCCCAACGCCGGGCTTGAACTCACAACCCTGAGATCAAGACCTGAGCTGAGATCAAGAGTCAGATACTTAACCGACTGAGCCACCCAGGTGCCCCAATCTGTGCTCATTTTTAAATTGGGATACTTGTTTTTTTATTATTGAGTTCTTTATATAGTAGCACTCGGTTTTTAAAGATTTCATTTATTTATTTGAGAGTGAGGGAGGGAGAGAGAGCACAGAGGGAGAAGCAGACTCCCTGCTGAGCAGAGAGCCTTACATGGGACTTAATCCTAGGACCCTGAGATTATGACCTGAGCCAAAGGCAGACACTTAATGGACTGAGCCATCTAGGTGCCCCAGTAGCACTGTTTTTAAAGATTAGTATATTGAAAAAGATCTTTCTATATGATTACATACTGTTCTCTTTCGTGTTTTTAATGGCCTCACTAGATTGTGCTATACATGTTGATCCTACTCCTACTTCCTTTTCCACTTCCCCTCCCTGTTAAGGGCCCAGCCCCTTCACATGCTAGTAAGAGCGGGAAAAACAGTGTATGTAGTAGGCTGTCTAGATTGTCTTAAGCCCTACAGGTAGACGATCTGGATAGTTAGCATCATCTTTGCCGTGTTTTGGGGTTCCTGATTTCCGGGATTTCCTTTCAACCAGCAATGCTTATGATTCAGTTAGTTAATTTACTCTGAGTTCAGAAATACCCAGAAGCTATTTCAGTGTGCAGGCTGAAGTTACCTTTTTTATTTTATTAAAAATTTGTTTTTATTTGAGTGTGGTTGACACACAGTGTTACATTAGTTTCAGGTATACAGCATAGTGATTGAACAGGTTTGTACATTGTGCTGTGCTCACCACAAGCAGAGCTGCCATTTGTCACTATACAGTGCTATTACAATACCATTGACTATTCCTTATGCTCTGCCTTTTATTCCCATGACTTACTCATTCCATAACTGGAAGCCTGTACCTCCCACTCTCCTCCCACTATGTCTATCCTCCTACTCCCTCCCCTCTGGAAGCCATCAGTTTGTTCTTTGTATTTATAGGTCTGAATGTGCTCTTTGTTTGTTTATTCATTTGCTTTCTTAAGGTTCCATATATGAGTGAAATCATACGGTATTTGTCTCTCTCTGTTTGACTTACTTCACTTAACATAATACCTTCTAGGTCCATCCATGTTGTCACAAACAGCCCAATCTCAACCTTTTAATGGCATTGTCATATTCCATTGTGTGTATCACATCTTCCTTATCCATTCATGTACTGATGGACACTTAGGTTGCTTCCATATCTTGACTATTGTAAATAATGCTGCACTAAATATCAGGGTGGTACATATATCTTTTGAATTAGTGTTTTCATTTTCTTTGTGTAAATACCTAGTACTGGAATTTATTCAACCATATGGAATTTTTATTTTTAATTTTTGGAAAAACATCCCTACTATTTTCTTCAGTGGCTGAACCAATTTACATTCCTACCATTAGTGCACAAGGGTTCCTTTTTCTTTATATCCTTATTAACACTTGTTATTTCTTCTTTTTTTTTTGTATTTAGCCATTTTGGTTGTGATATCTTGTGGTTTTGATTTGCATTTCTCTGATGATTAGTTATGTTGAGCATCTTTTCATATGTCTGTTGTTCATCTGTATATCTTCTTTTGAAGAAAGTCTATGCAGGTCCTGTGCCCCTTTTTTTGTTTTTTTGTTTTTTTTTTAAATAGGCTCCATGCCCAGCATGGAGCCCAGCGCAGGGCTTGAACTCATGACCCTGAGATCAACATCTGAACTGAGATCAGCGGTCAGACATTTAACTAACTGAGCCACCCAGGCACCCCATCTGTGCCCATTTTTTAATCGTATTGTTTTGTTTTTTGGTGTTATATAAATTCTTTATATATTTTGGATACAAACTCCTTATCAGATGTATCATTTGCAAATATTTTCTCCTAATCAGTAGGTTGCCTTTTCATTTTGTGGATGTTTCCTTTGCTGTGTAAAGCTTTTTATTTTGATGTAGTCCCAGTAGTTTATTTTTGCTTTTGTTTCCCTTGCCTATGGAGACATATCTAGAAAAATGTTGCTACAGCTGACGTCAGAGAAATTATTGCCTGTGTTTTTTTCTAGGATTTTTATGGTTTGGTCTCACATTTAGATCTCTAATCCATATTGAGTTTAATCTTTGTAGATGGAGTTAGGAAGTTGTCCAGTTTCATTCTTTGGCATGTAGCTGTCCAGTTTTCCCAGCACCATTTATTGAAGAGAATGTCTTTTACCCATTGTATATTCTTGCCTCCTTTGTCCTAGATTAATTGACCATATAAGTGTGGATTTATTTCTGGACTCTATTTTCTTCCATTGATCTGTTTTTGTGCCAGTACAGTATTGTTTTGATTACTGTAGTTTTATATTAGATCTTGAAATCTGGAATTGTGATACCTCTTACCTTTGTTTTTCTTTCTCAAGATTACTTTGACTCTTCAGAGTCTTTTTGGTGGTTCCATACAAATTTTAGTATTATTTGGTCTAGTTTTATGATAAATGCTGTTGGTATTTTGAGAGCGATTTGAAGGTAACTCTTTTTATGTAGAAGTCATTTTTTTCTTCTTTGTGATATTCTTTTTAGAATACCTCCCTCCCCAACTTTGCCCAAGGTGGAACTAGCCAGACCTCATGTGTACCCACTTCTAAACTTTTTTGTATATGGGGTTGTAATTACACTGCCGTCACCATCGAGTGGACATAAAACTGTGGCAGCCACAAGTGAAATATGTGCAGTGTAGGGATTCGTTAATCATTTGCATCAAAAATCTCATTGGCCAGGACCACTCTTCTGCCATGTGAATAAGCTTGATTTTTGGATTAAGAGAAATTTGGAAGAGCCACTATATAGTGATCTGTCTTTGAAGAGAGAACATATTTCTAATATGGCAGTTTTAGCTGTACTGTTTTGGACTATATCTTAAGTGTGTTCTTTGTTTAAGAAACTGAGAAAAATGCTTCTGAAGCAACGGAATTACAAGATGAAAACCTTGGATCACTTACAACAGCAGAGAATAAGGAGCAGAGCAAATTGGCTTGTGAACATGGTATTGAAGAGACTATTTCTCAAGAAGCAAATCTAACTGAAAGGTAAAAGAGAGATTCTGGGATTTGGGTTATATTATGTTTCAACTATAGTCATTAGCTATAACTGTAAGAATTTGATTGGAAAAAGGGAGTTCTGTTGCATTAAATATAGTTTAGAAATTTGAACACCATTAAATCTTTGACTCACTTAGCTCTAAACATTACTCTGTAGTTGTCCACTTGGTTTCAGTATAGAACTTTAATACATACTCTGAAACTCGAATATATACTAATTTCTTTTTCAGAAACGATGATCAAGAAGAAGAATCTCAAAAGGTTCAGATATCGTCAGTTGCTCCAGTTGTTTCCTTTGAGACAAGGCCCCATACACTTGGTTCAGATCTGGTTCTCAGTGAGAGTTCCATCAAAGAGCCCCAGAGAAAGGACTCTAATGGAGACAGTGTGCTTGCACTTCATGTGTCAGAGGTAAAAGAATATAAAATATAACATGGGGTGGCTGGGTGTTTATTCCCTGTTTAAAAAAAATTAAGGTAGGATTTACAAAAAATAAACTTCACCTTTTTCAGTGTGTACTTCTACAAGTTGTGACAAACATATATAGTCATGTAAGCAACACATAAACAGTTCCCCCAGATTCCCCAGGGCCCTTTTTTAGTCACCCCCCCTTACCACCCCGACTACTTGGCAATCCCTGATGTTTTCTTTCCCTATAGTTTTGCCTTTGCAAGAATGTATTATGATAGAATTGTTTATTGAGTGTGTTTTTAGTCTTTGGAGCATAGATAAAACAGCCAATACGTAGCTTTGCTGTGAAAGTTTTGAAAAAGAAGTGTTTTGTACAGAGTATTTACCTCTTGCTTGCTGGCCACTGAATCTGAGAAATACTTTCACATTGCAGGTATTTTTATTACTACGTGTTCAATACTGTGTAAGGTACTGGGGGGGACAAAGTTGTAGGAAACAGTTGAGGATATGAATGGTTAAATTCTGAAGGCAAGTTGCACAAGACTCTTAATAAAGGAGTGGTCTTCAACCCAATCCAGTAAAATCAGCCTCTGGAAATAGGGTGTAGACATTTGCTTTCTGTTGTTGTTGTTAAAATGCCTCAGGTTGGGGCGCCTGGGTGACTTAGTTGTTAAGCGTCTGCCTTCAGCTCAGGTCATGATCCCAGGGTCCTGGGATCGAGTCCTGCATCAGGCTCCCTGCTCTGCGGAAAGCCTGCTTCTCCCTTTCCCACTCCCCCTGCTTGTGTTCCCTCTCTTGCTGTGTCTCTCTCTGTCAAATAAATAAATAAAAAATAAAATCTTAAAATAAATAAACAGACAAATAAATAAATAAATAAATTCCTCGGGTTATTCTGATGTGTAGCCAGGACTAAAAAAGTCCTTGATCTAGAAGAACAGGTAAATTAACCAGTTAAAGGGAGAGGAACATGTGTAAAGAATAAGTGTGAAACAGCACTTCATATTCAGGGACTAAGTAGTTATGAGTAGGATATAAATGAAGAAGTAGTTAAAGATGAGTGAGCTAGGTATCCCGGGAGCAGATCATCAAAGGAGTTTTTATGATTTGCTAGAGTTTGGGCTATATCAAAATTTACGGGATTTTCCCTAACCTCCAGCTTGTTTATTTTTACTTTTTATTTTGAAATAATTTCAAACTCGTTTGAGAGTTGCAAAGATCTTTTTTTTTTTTTTTAAGATTTTATTTATTTATTTGACAGAGAGACACAGCAAGAGAGGGAACACAGCAGGGGGAGTGGGAGACGGAGAAGCAGGCTTCCTGCTGAGCAAGGAGCCCAGTGCGGGGTTTGATCCCAGGACCCTGGGACCATGACTCGAGCCAAAGGCAGACGCTTAATGACTGAGCCACCCAGGCGCCCCTGCAAAAATCTTAAATAGAATTCTCATAGACCCTTTATATAGATTTATTAATTATTAACATTTTGCTTCATTTGCTTATTCTGTCATGTTCTCCATCTCTGTAGATAGATACTTTTTGAGAAACTGAACCATTTGAAAGTTGCAGACATGAGCCTTCACCCATACATACTCCAGCTTGAATTTGATACTAAGGATGTTTCTAATACAGAAATGATGATACTGTTGTCACAGTATTACCATACTATCTAATATGGATTTAAAAATAATATGTAATACACAGTTTCAACCAGGGCTCTCATACTGCATTTAGTTGTCATTCTCCTTATTCTCTTTTCATCTAGAGTAGTTCTTCTTTTCCCTCTTCTGTGAACTTGACATTGCAGGCTAATTCACAATCTGGATTTTTGTTCTTCTTCCCCGTTATTGATTCAGATTGAACAGTGTTTGGCACAATTACTACCTAGGTGTTGTTGTCTTCCTTTATCACCTCAGTAGGCATGTAAGTGCCTGCCAGATTTCTCCATTTAACAGCATCTTTTGCACACTGTGTTAGTAAGTTATTTTAGACCCAGCAACCTTCTACCCAGTAGTTTTTTGTTTTGTTTTGTTTTGTTTAAAGATTTTATTTATTTGATACAGAATGAGAGATTGAGAGAGTACAAGCAGGGGGAGCGGCAGGCAGAGGGAGGGGGAGAAGCAGGCTTCCCGCTGAGCAGGGAGCCCAATGCGGGGCTCGATCCCAGGACCCTGGGATCATAACCTGAGCTGAAGGCAGCTGCTTAACCGACTGAGCCACCCAGGTGCCCAATACCCAGTAGTTTTAGTATCCATTGATGATGCTTGCCTGAATCAATTACTGACATTGTTGGTTACAAAATGAAAGTTTGAAGTTTTTTTTAAATTTTTTTTTAAAGATTTTATTTATTTAACAGAGAGAGAGACAGCTAGAGAGGGAACACAAGCAGGGGGAGTGGGAGAGGGAGAAGCAGGCTTCCCGCTGAGCAGGGAGCCCGATGCGGGACTCGATCCCAGGACCCTGGGATCATGACCTGAGCCAAAGGCAGATGCTTAACGACTGAGCCACCCAGGTGCCCCTGAAAGTTTGAAGATTTTAAGCAGTAGAGAATTACAATAAGAATTGCATTTTAGAGAATACAGGGTTGGCAATTTTGTGGAAAACAGATTCAAAGGGGCTGTGTTGGAGGCAAGGATGTCACCTACTAATAGTACAAGATCTGCTGTATTGGGGTAGAGTGAAGGTTGAGGGGTTTGAATCTCCCTTTCCTGTTACTTCAAAAATAATTTCATAAAATTCACATATTTAACAGTTTAGCCAGAATTTCTTGGTGCATATATGTTTATATAAATCAAAAGTTATTGGTACAACTAAAAGTTTCAAAATGTTTAAAAAAAGTTGAGTTTTGAAATAATAATTCTTATTATATCCAGTTGTCTGGAAAATTTTTTAAAACTAAAATTTGGTCAACCCCATTTTGCATTTTAATTTTTAAAAATTTTTTTAGGGTACACCAACTAGTATGCTGGAAGTCCAACAAGAGAATGTAATCAGTTCTCAAGACTTAGCAGGTATGATAATGTGCTTCGATAAAGTACCACAGAACTGAATAGTACAGCTTTTACTTCTCTACCTCATTTGACTATGGAAAAACAAAATAGTTTTTTAGTCTGTGACAGTCTTAAATTAAAAACAAAAAAACTTGAAGTATTTTATGGAACAGTTTGTTATTCAGAATTATAAATCCCCTCTATAGTGAACCGTCTTTATCCTTTTTGAAATTACTTTTTACTTTTATGGGTGTAATTTGCTTTTTATTCATGGGGATAAGTTGTAGTGAGACTTCTTAGAAATGTAATAAATTAATGATTTTCATAGTTCAGCTTTTCATTATTAACTTTTAAACTTTGATAGTGAATCTAGTTGCTAATGTACATCAAGATGGTGAGGATGAACAAGCATTCATTTTAACTCTGGTGGAAATCCCAACCAATGCTGTAGAAGAATTTAGTGATACCACTGCACAGTTAATGCCAAACCCTTTACTGCCAGCACCCATATTGATCAAATCCGTGAATACAGAAGAAAGGAGTGACATGAGGTAATGAATGAGCTAACCTGTTTAAATTCCATTTAGTTAAATACAGTGCAATATTAGTTTCTGGTGTAAAGTATGGGGATTCAACACTTCCATATATCACCTGGGACCTAAACTGTTTTTGCTAGGAGGAAAGGTGCTTTATGAATTGAATAGTATTGACTGAATAAGCTGTTCACCAGCATTATTTGTAATTGTCCCAAAGATCTTATTTAATAATTATATGTTAAGTTAGAGAAGAAATTACTGATTTTATATATAACCTGATAAAGCTGCCATTTAAATGTATAATATAATACTTTTGTATGAAACTTGTTTGGTATCTTAAGTATTTTGAAAGCTAAAAAAATTTAGCAATTTGGATTATAAAATGTCATCTATTAAAGGTGTGTGGTTACTTTGTAAGCTTATATATTTTAAAGTCTGAAATAAATATTCATTCACAGAAGTTGCAAGAAGGATAACATTTCTGTGTGTGTGTGTGTGTGTATTTTTTTTTTTTTTTAAGTAGGCTTCCACGCCCAGCGTGGAGCCCAACATAGAGCTTGAACTCACAACCCTGAGATCAAGCAAGACCTGAGATCAAGAGTCAGACACTTAACCAACTGAGCCACCCAGGCGCCCCATTTCTGTATATTTTAATACTGCTTTTTAAATTCCTTACTATAGAATTGTTGTATTTTACAGTCATTGGTTAAGATGCTTAATTCTCTGTCAAGTAGCATTAGATGTTGAAGGCATTTATATTAGTAAGAGGCATTTTAGATTAAAATTTTAACTTTATAGACAAGGAAAACGGTATTTTTATACCTTGGATTTAATTCAGTATTACAGAATTTAAGTTGCAAGTTTTTAAGTATGAATGGATCGCAAAACTAACATTTTTGTGACCTTGGCCATGTATATATTAGTTACTTGGAAGTTTTTTTGGCAGTTTTCACTGGAATAGCTCAGCCTTTTACTTCATTAAATAGCTTCTGATTTGCTAATTTCATATGTTTGCATTTTCTATTAGTTTTCCAGTAACTTCAGTTGGTCAGGATACCATGTATTTATCTGATTCCGGAAAAGATGGTTCTGAAAAGCCTCCTCCTGCTAATTTGGATCTTATATCTAGGAAGAGATTTCACTGTATGCTTGGTGAAAGTAACCATGTTCCTCCTGCCAAAAAAAGTTTGCTCACTTCAGGAGATGATTGTCAAAATCATACCTCTGAGGTAAGATAGAATCATCAAGCAAATAAGATGGTCCTATTACAACAGATACATTTCTGTTTCTTCCTTTAGCCTCTTTATATGAAGATAGTTCTGATGCTTTTCACCACAAATAATCCAGCTAAAACCGATTTTGGATTCTCGTTTCCAATAGTTCTTTGTGAAAATTGATGGACGTTAATTAGGAAACCCATTCCTAGTTTTTTGTTATTGGCTCAAAAAAGGCCAAAAGCATCTTGTAGATCTGGATCCTGGCTGTACCCTATGACAGCTGTGGGACCTGAGTCAGGATATGTTGTTTCTGTGAGTGAGTTTTCTGTTGTGTAAAATAGTAATAGTAGTATCATCATCACTATTATCATAATACTTAAAGCTATGCATTGCTCTTGGGAGGAAAAACCAGAACCTTAAAGGCCCTCTATTTGGCCCATTTCTGTCTCTGATCTCACCTTGTGCCTCACTCTCTAACCATATTGGCCGTCTTTCAATGCACCATATTTCTTCATGTCCCAGGGCATTTTTTTTTATTATCTTTTTATGAAACATTTTCTTGCCAAACATACAAACGTCTTTATCTCAGTCATCACTACCTCAGGGAAGCCTGAAGATAGTATGCAGGTTTGATCAACAGCCACAATGTTAAAGGTTTCTTAGCACCCCCTTGTTTTTGTTTCTAATACTCATGATAATTTATCTCACTGTGTAGCTACACTGTGGAAGAGTTAATTAGTTAATTTATTTTTGGAAAAGTTGATTTAGAATCTATAGTCTCAAAGGGACAGTTGAAAACCAGTAGTCCTTTGGTGAGAGTAGACAACAGAGGCAGTGGATCCTTGTATACCTGATAGGTAGAAGATGGTATCACAGGATGGTTTTAATTTTTCTTATTATGAGTAAGGCTGAACGTCTTTTATATGCTTAGGAGTCTTTTGTATTCCTTTCTCTGTGGAATGACTTTGTATTCTTCAGCTACTTTTCAGTTGTGTTGCTGATCTTTTAAATAGAGATTTGGAGGAACTCTGTGTTATGTATGTCCATGAATGAGTTGCATATATTTTTCCCTACTTTGTCTTTTGACTCTACTTTTTGTGTTTTTTTTCTTGCAGACTTTTTGTGGTTGATTTTGGGGGGGGGGTGCGGTTAAGATTTTATTTTTAAGTAATCTTTACACCCATCGCAGGGCTTAAATTTACAGCTCCAAGGTCAAGAGTCACATGCTCTATCCACTGAGCCAACCAGGTGCCCTGATTTTTTAATATGAAAATTTTCAAGCATTTAAAAAGATACACATGGAAGTATAATGCATCCCTCTGTATCAGTCACCCAGTTTCATCAATTTATCAGCATTCCTTGCAAACATTGTTCTGTTGTGTTTGTTTATTTACTTATTTATTTAAAGATTTTACTTATTTATTTGACAGAGATAGCGCACAAGTAGGGGTAGTGGCAGGCGAGGGAGAGGGAGAAACAGGCTCCCCACTGAGCAGGGAGCCCCATGTGGGGTTCGATCCCAGGACCCCGGGATCAGGACCTGAGCCAAAGGCAGACGCTTTAACGACTGAGCCACCCAGGCGCCCCAAACATTGTTCTGTTTTAAAAGTATATTCAGTGACATAGGGAAAGGATGATAGTGCATTACTATAGCAAAACTAGGCTACCAGTTTATAATAAGCCATTTAAAAATGATAGATATAGGGGCACCTGGGTGGCTCAGATGGCTCAGCGGGAAGCCTGCTTCTCCCTCTCCCACTCCCCCTGCTTGTGTTCCCTCTCTTGCTGTGTATCTCTCTGTCAAATAAATAAATAAAAAATCTTTTTTTTTTTTAAGATTTTATTTATTTGAGAGAGAGAGAGAATGAGAGATAGAGAGCACGAGAGGGAAGAGGGTCAGAGGGAGAAGCAGACTCCCTGCTGAGCAGGGAGCCCGATGTGGGACTCGATCCGGGACTCCAGGATCATGACCTGAGCCGAAGGCAGTCGCTTAACCAACTGAGCCACCCAGGCGCCCTAAATAAAAAATCTTTAAAAAAAATGATAGATGTACATTGATGTGAGTATATAAGAACAGTATAATGTCTTTGAGCTTATTTGTGATTTTTATTTTTTAAACTTGGTTTTCAGCATTCTAACAATAAAAAAATGCTTATAAAATGTTGAAGTTATAATTGTAAATTCTAGAATGCACACATACTGCATTCACATAGACATGCAAACATTTTTTATTTTTATGTAATCCCATTTATCATTCTTTTTATGTATGGCTTCTGGGGACTGTGTTATACATTGAAAATCTACCTTGAGATTTAGTGTAAATTTTTAAGAGTTAACATTAATGATTTGTTTAGAATTTATTTTGGTGTTAGGAAGAGTGGAACCAACTTCATGTTCTCCAGGTGTCTACCTAGTTGTCCCAGCACCATTTGTTGAATAATTCATTTTTCTCCAGATTTAAAATTCCACTTACTGGATATTAAGTCCCATATGTATTTGGGTATACCTCCTGAATTTTCTTCTACTTTGAGATTCACTTATTTGTTCTGGGGCCAGTGTCCCAGTGTTTTAAATTACTGTAGTTTTTAAATACTTTGCTATCTTAAATGGAAAGTTTCTCTCTCCCCTGCACATAATTTTATTTTATTTTTTTTCAAGTTTTTCCTAGTTGGGTATATGTCCTAAAGTTTATGTTAATTTTAGAATTTGCTTGTTCAGAGCTTAAAAAAAAAACACTATTGATACTGATACTTAAATTAGGATCATATTAACTTGACCAGTTAACAGGGAAAGTTGATGTCAGCATTGTCATGTTGGATTTTTTTTAATCCAAAAACGTATGTCTTTCCATTTGATTAATTATTCTTTTATGTCTCAGTGGTATTTTCAGTTCTTCTTCATTTAAATTCTGGTCCATTTCTTACTAGGTTATCTCCTAAGAATTTTATCTTGTTTATTGCCGTTATCATTGAATTCTTTTCTATGTAGAGAGCTTACTCAATTCCCCTTATCATATACAGTAATTTTTCACTTGATTCTGTTGGGTTTTCTAAGTAAACAGTCATATCATCTGTAAATACAATTTTAATCCTTCTCATATACTTGGTATACCTTTAATTTCTTTCTCTTTTCCATATAAGCTAATAAAACTCAAAAAATATCAGAAAATAGTCCTGATAGTAGACATCTTTTTCTTATCCCTGATTTAAATGCAAATATTTCCAGTGTTTATGAAGTGGGATGCTGGTTTTGAATTGCAGTAATTATAGTTTATGGTGTTAAGAAAATGTCTTTTTTTTAAGCATGAATATTATTGGACACTTTCCCCATAAACAGAGAGATGGGGGTATGATTTTTCTCCCCAGTTCAGTTGAATTATACTAGTTCACATATTGAATTATCTTTGCATTCCTGAGACAATTCTGCTTGATTATGATGTTAGTCTTTTGATGTGTTGCTGAATTATGCTTGTACTATTATATTTGATATTTTTGTACTGGTTGTAATTGGAATTGCAGTTAATTGTAATTGGAATTGCAGTTAATATATATATATTAAAGATTTTATTTATTTATTTAATAATAAATTAAAGCCCCCACAAGCAGGGGGAGTGGGAGAGGAGAAGCAGGCTTCCTGCTGAGCAGGGAGCCCAATGCGGGGCTCGATCCCAGGACCCCGGGATCATGACCTGAGCCAAAGGCAGATGCTTAATGACTGAGCCACCCATGCGCCCCGGAATTGGAATTGATATTAATATTAGTTTATAAAAAGCATTTGAAAACTTTTCCTCTTTTGCCGTGCTCTGGAACATTTTAAGTAGCAGTAGCAATGTGTTTTTCATAAATGTTGGTAGAATTTCCATAAGACATCTTTTATGCTAGGGGTTTCTGGGAGGTACATGCTTTCTTTATTAAAAAAGAAAGAAAGAAAGAAAGATTTACTTGATAAATGGATTTTTAATTTTTTTGGTAATTTTCTTAAAACAGGTGTGTTCAAAGGAAATGATAAATGTGTCTGAGGAAACAGGTGAGTGAAATAAATTTTAATGTGATTACATTTATCTGTTTTTGATGCATCTATTCAAATTTGGAATTAGAGAAGAGTATTGCTCACTTTCTCTAAGAATCTTGCTTTTATTATTAGAAGTTTTTCTCTCCAGCTGAGATCTTGGATTTGGCACTCCTATAGCCATACGAAGCTACTTTAATCCTGTAATTAATAGAAAACCATGTGGCTACAGGATTTCCTGTAAAAGCTTAACAATTATATTTTAGGAATTAGCTGAGCTTATGATAAAAGAGTTTTTATATAGTTCCTTAAGTTTACCCAGAGATTAGAAAGTGATAACTCTCATTTTGCTAGTTGAAGATATATTTGTCGAGAAAGATTTTCTAGGTCAAACTATGTTGATAGGACTATTTTGTATCTGAATGAAAAAGTATTCTAAGATTTTTTTTTTTTAATTTTATTTATTTATTTGACAGAGACACAGTGAGAGAGGGAACACTGGCAGGGGGAATGGGAGAGGGAGAAGCAGGCTTCCTGCCGAGCAGAAAAAAGTATTCTAATCATACTTTTTTTTACCAGCTACAATGTTCTTAATAGTCCAGATGACTTACATATTAATAATTTATAATTTAGCTTACTCTTATTAGAGTAGGTTTATGATAGAATGTCATGATTTCTTTCCTTCAAATATTGCAGTTCAGTCGGATATATAAATTTCAATATGTGTTCTCTGTGCTTACGATTTCTCTTTGTTTTTTGAAGGGGAGTCTTACAAGGAACAAGGTATCTTCCCTACCTCAGGAAGCACACATACAACTCCAGAACCTCAGAAAGAGCAACTTGAACCAACTTTTCAGAGTATAGGATCTGGATCTCCTGATAAAGTAACAGATACACATATAGAAAAAAGTACATCTCAGTTACCTCAGGATGAGAGGAGTGTGTCTGATAAGGAGGAGAGAACTTGTGCTGCTTCGAAGTCTGAACAAATGGATAGCATCCCATCATCTTCAAAAACCCCATTATCCAGGTACCGTGAGATGATCTTTAACAAATGTTTCTCTCCATTTCTCTTTCTCAACGGGTAAATGTAACCTGTATGCAACGGATATAACATATATGTAAAGACTAAGTTCACTACTAAGGATGATGTTTTATAAACATCCCTTTGTCAGTAATGTAAAGGGAAGGAGTTTTATCAAAGGAAATTCAGTAGTGAACATTTTTTTAGGACTCTTCAGATAAATACACATTCCGTGTAACAAGAGCTTAACTTTAAGTGTTGAAACTAACTTTTTAGGTAGAAAATCTGCATTGGCATATGCTGGTATGATGGTATAACAGCTGCTGGTATATAATGATCAAAATAATAATGATATTTAGTAGATATGCTGATACCACTAATGTGGTATCACCTGTGCCATTTTAGCATTCACGGAAAGAAGTTGGTATTAGGAGTGTATCTTCCTGGATATTCTTGAATATCTTTACATTTGCATTTCTAGACCTGGCAGAAGACCCCTGGGATTTTTGTCTTTAATATGTTCAAAGAATAGTTTGGAGTCTGATGAACCTACTCAGGTTTATAATAAGAAACGTCTAAAACCTCTTATACCTATACCAAGAAAGAATTTGAAAAGATCAAATCCACTCACTGAAAGCCAGAAAAAAATCCAAGAGTCCTCTGATCAGCTTCCATCTCCAAGGGTTGTTGATACTCCTTCTGAGAGTATTGGCAGTTCAGCAACTCAGGTACGTGATAACTGTTATATTTTATTGTTTGTATAGAATGGGTTAGAAATCAGACTCAACTAGAAAAAACAAGGCAATTGGTATTTTCATTTGGATGTTAGAAATTACTTCAGAGCATCTCTTGTCTATCTTCTCCCCATCATACCTCACTATGAGAGAAGAAGATAAGGTGTTGAATTAGGAAGTCACAGCTCCTTTAGTACAGAGCCATTTAAGCTAGCCATACATGGACACTTAATTGCCATTCCTTTAGTGCAAAGGACTTTCTGACCTATGGAAGCAAAACAAAGCTGGACTGATGTTTTATTTGCTTTTGGGAAAATGTCCTGACACCCATAAGAATTCAAGGAATGGTAAAATTAGAATTTGTTTGCATGTTTCATTTCTCTGCATGCTGTAGATGTTCATATGGCAAGTCCTGGGATGGAAAAATACATGAACTTGTATCAAAAACTTTGGAAGAGCATTGGGGTTGGTTACTTAGGATTTCAACACAGAAAAGGCTGGTGACCTATTGGATAGTGTGAGTCTCAAAAGGAGTACTTTTGTAAAAACTGTCTTTAAAATTTTTTAAAATACTTTATATTTCCTAGAATTATTTTCTGGAACCAGTATTTTATGACTCTTTACTATTGCCAAATTATTGTGGAAAACAGTTGTTACAATTACCAGCAATGTAACTAGGCCAGTTAAGTCACATTCTTGCCAGCTTTAGATATTAACTCTTCAAAATAATTTTTTTCTTTAATATAATAGTAGAGGGTAGAAATGTAATTTCATCTGTTTAATTTGCATTTCTTTCATTATTAGTGGCTTGGTTTTTTTCCCATACATTTACTAGATTTTTTTTCTCTTTTTTTTCTTTTTTGTTTCTATAGTTTGCTGATTTATAGCTTTTGGGATCTAGGTGGTTTTCTTACCAACTTATGTGAGATCCTTATGTAAGAAAGCCACATACCTTTTAGCTCTTACTGCAAGTAATTTTTTCAAATTCATTTACTTTTTTAAATTTTGTAGGGTTTTTATTTTAATATACACATAAGCTTTAAATGTTTAGTCAAATCAATTTTTTCTTTACAATTTCTTAAATTTTATGATTAGGAGGTTTTTCTCCATAGGTATAAAACGTTTAGTAAGCAGTTTTAAAACTAACTTTGTTTAGGGGTGCCTGGGTGGCTCAGTTGGTTAAGTCTGCTTCTCCTCCCCGCCCTCCTGCTTGTGCTCATTCTTACTCATTCTCTCTCTCTAATAAATAAATGAAATCTTAAAAAAAAATAAAGATTTTATTTATTTGAGAAAGGGAAACAGTGTGAATGTGGCACGGGGAGGGGCAGAGGGAGAGAGAGAATCCTAAGCAGACTGTTCTAAGCACAGAGCCCGACTCCGGCTGGATCTCACCACCCTGAGACCACGACTTGAGCCGAAATGAAGGGTCTGACACTCCACCATCTGAGACACCCAGGTGCCCCTCTCTTTTTTTTTTTAATTAAATTTAAATTAAACTTTTTATTATGGGATAATTGTTGATTCACATGCAGTTGTAAAAAACAATACAGAGAGATCCTATGTACCCTACATCCAGTTTTCCCCACTGTTAACATTTTAACAAAACTGTGGTACAAAATCACAACCAGAATATTGACATTGCCACAGTCAAGATACAGAAGAATTCTATCACCACAGTGATCCTGTGTGTGGTCTTTTATAGACACACTCACTTACATCAACACCCCCACACTCTCCTTAACTTCTGGCAACCTGTTCTACACCATTAAATTTGTCATTCTGAGAATGTTATGTCAGTGGAATATTGTATACAGTTGTGTAAATGGAATCATACATTTAGAATTCACTTTTTTTCCACTCAGCATAGTTCCCTAGAAAGTCATCCAGATGGTTTTATGTATTTATTCCTTTTTATTATTGAATAGTATTCAATAGTATGTTACTAGTCATGTTTATCCTTTCACCAATTGAAGGGCATATGGGTTATTTTCAGTTTTTGGCTGTTAGGAATAAAGCTGCTGTGAACATTCATATCTAAGTTCTTGTGTGAACATAAATTCATTTTTTAAAATTTTTTTATTGTTATGTTAATCACCATACATTACATCTTTAGTTTTTGATGTAGTGTTCATAAATTCATTTTTCAGGAATAAGTGCCCAAGAGTGCCCTCATTATTTTTAATGACTATATCATATCCCACTGTTTTGATGTACAATAGAACAATAATGGTCTCACACTGGTAGGCATTTAGGTTATTCCTAATGATTTGCTGTTTCAAATAATATGGTAATAGCTAACTTACAAATGAGTGCTTTTGCACATTTAGCTATAGGTTGAATTCTTAGAAATAGAATTGTTGGATCAAAAGGAATGATTATTCTTTTGAGAGATATTGCTTGTGATTGTCTTCCATAGGGAATGTATCAGTTTCTATTCTTAGCAGCAGTATAGGAGGACCTTTTTCCTCACACTAGCATGTAATCAATTTTTTTCACTTTTGGAATTCTTCATAGATTTAATGAGCATATGAGTGAGGTTGAGTACTTCTTCATGTCTTTGAATCATTTATGCTTTCTCTGTGAAACATCTGTTCATGTTTCTTTTTTTAAGATTTTATTTATTTATTTGAGAGAGAGAGAGAGAGTGAGCAAGCACAAGCAGGGGGAGCCGCAGAGGGAGAGGGAGAAGCAGGCTGCTCGAGGAGCAGGGAGCCTGATGCGGGGCTTGATCCCAGGACCTTGGGATCATGACCTGAGCTGAAGACAGATGCTTAACCCACTAAGCCATCCAGGCACCCCATGTTTGATTTTTTTAAAAAATTGCATCATTAGTATTTTTCATATTAATTTGTAGAGGCTCTTACATTAAAGAAAACCCTGGGGCGCCTGGGTGGCTCAGTCATTAAGCGTCTGCCTTCGGCTCAGGTCATGATCTCAGGGTCCTGAGATTGAGCCCCGCATCGGGCTCCCTGCTCTGTGGGAAGCCTGCTTCTACCTCTCCCACTCCCCCTGCTTGTGTTCCTGCTCTTGCTGTGTCTCTCTCTGTCAAATAAATAAATAAAATCTTTAAAAAAAAAGAAAAGAAAACCCTCTGGGGTGCCTGGGTGGCTCAGTTGTTAAGCATCTGCCTTCGGATCAGGTCATGATCCTGGGGTCCTGGGATCGAGCCCTGTGTTGGGCTCCCAGCTCCGTGGGAAGCCTGCTTCTCCCTCTCCCACTCCCCCTGCTTGTGTTCCTGCTCTCGCCATCTCTCTCTGTCAAATAAATAAATAAAAATCTTAAAGAAAAAAGAAAACCCTTTGTGATAAAGGTGTTACATATATACATATATATTTTTTTAACCTATATGTCATTTGTCTTTTGATTTTGTGTATAGTAGTTTTTGCCATGCGGACATTTTAAAAATTTTTACATAGGTGAATTCATCAGTCTTTTATGACTTCTGCCTTTCAGGTCATTTAAAAAGATACTCCCTCTCCTCCAGTCCAGGATTTAATATTAAAGTGTTTTCCCATGGTATTTTAGAGTAGATTTTTTTTAAGACTTGATTTATTTATTTGGGAGAGAGAGCATGAGCAGGGGGTTGGGGGGGAGGAGGTTGGGCAGGAAGGGGCCTGACGTAGGGCTCAATCTCAGGACCCTGAGATTATGACCTGAGCTGAATGCAGATGCTTAAGAGACCGAGCCACCCGGGTACCCCTAGGGTAGATTTTTAAAAAAATGTTTTTACATTTAAATCGTTTGATTCATCTAGAATTTATTTTGGTTTGACTTCTTTTTTTTCCTGAGATGGTTATATAGTTGTCCAACATCATTTATTAAATAATCCAACTTTTCTCATACTAAATTTTGCAGTATATGTGTTGGGGATGTTTCTAGTCTTCTTTTTCATTGATATATGTCTGTTCCAATGACAATACCATGTTGTCTTAATTTTTTATAAATTTCTAAGTATGCTAACTTTTGATAGGATTGCTTTAAATATTTTTTTTTAAGATTTTATTTAGGGCGCCTGGGTGGCTTAGTTGTTAAGTGTCTGCCTTCGGCTCAGGTCATGGTCCCAGGTCCTGGGATTGAGACCCGCATCAGGCTCCCTGCTCCGTGGGAAGCCTGCTTCTCCCTCTCCCACTCCCCCTGCTTGTGTTCCCTTTCTCTCGCTGTGTCTCTCTCTGTCAAATAAATAAAATCTTAAAAAAAAACTTATTTGACAGAGAGAGACACAGCGAGAGAGAGTGAGCATACAAGCAGGGGGAACAGCAGAGGGAGAGGGAGAAGCAGGCTTTCTACTGAGCAGGGAGCCTGATGCGGGGCTTGATCCCAGGACCCTGGGATCATGACCTGAGCGGAAGGCAGCTTAACCCAGTGAGCCACCCAGTCGCCCTGATTGGATTGCTTTCATCTGTTGTTGCCTTGGGGTACTGTTCTGTTTTGTGAGTCTGTTTCTTACACAGATTATTAAAATGTTTCATAATAGATTTGACAATGTTATGCTTTTCTGTATTAAAATTTTGTCATGGAAATTAGGGTAAAATAATGGTTCGTGTGTACACTGTAATTAATCTAATCATGCCCACTGTTGTGTGTTTGTTGTGTCCAGTTTTATTATTTTAACTAATGCTTCAGAGGTTATCTTATTCATAAAATTCTTACTCTGTTTAGTATTATTTCCCTATTACAACAGCACAGAAATGAAATTATTGGGTCAAAGAGTATGAACATATTTAAAGCCCTTAATATTTATCACTATATTGCTTTTCAAAGGGATAGCAATTTAGATGACCACTACCAATATATAAATGTTATATTGCATACTTATTAATATTATCTTTCTAGGTTTCTTGTGATCCTCCCTTACCAAAAGAAGAAAGTAAAAGTGGCCAAAACCGGGTACCTGAAGAGGAGCCAACCACAGTCTCTGAATATTTCTTTAGTGATATCTTTATCGAAGTAGATGAAACAGAATAAAAGTCTTTTTTTTTTAATTTTTTTTTAAGTCTAGGATTTCCAGAGTCAAATATCAACTAAGCAGTATTTAGAAAAAAGCATCACAGGCTATTTTTCTTTAGATTGATTTTGAATATCTAATGAGCTTGATTTGAAGTTCTTATAATCAGTGGAAAACATTGCTGAGGTTCCTTTCCTTCTGATTGATTCAGCATTTTGGAAAATACGAAGCAATTAAGACTGCTTCTGAGACAGAAATAGCTTCTCTTGTTTACATTTTGACTCTCCTGTGCTGAACACACCATGGACATTTTGGAATGTTGTGGATAAATGTCTCTGTATAAATCACAATGCTGACATATTTGGAGGTGGATTGTATTTAGCATTTAGCGAACTTCTTTCGTAAAGGTTTTTTTCTGGGTTTTTTTGGGTTTTGTTTTTTATTTTTTATTTGTTTTGCTGAAGGCCTTTACAGTTGCCTCTAAGTATATGAAAGCATATTGTGAAACTCCACTTTAGTATGGTAAATGTTAAAACCTTTTCTATTATGAGCTATTTGACTGGAAAATATGTATTTTTCTAATTTCATGTTGATGTTAACATTAGTCCTAATTGAACAAGTAGTATTTAAACTTATTTATAAAGATGAAACATCAAAAAGTTTATTTATTTTTTAATTTTTTATTTAAAAGAATATTCAGTTTTAATTATTTTCACCACTCAGATTATGGGTAAAGAAGACATTGACAAATTTATGTTTGTCCCGTTTCCCTCTTTAATTTTAAAGATATTTAAAGTTATATCACTAAAAGTATTTGGATAGTAGATATGTTTTGAATACATTTTTTTCTCATAGTTTAGTATATTGAATTTGTACTGTGAAGTTTTTGTTTTTATTTTTTGGATAATCTCAGGATTTGTATGGGAAAAAAACCCCTAATTTATGAGGGAGATTTACATTCAAAACTTAGTCCCTTTTACACACACACACACACACACACACACACACACACACACATTCCTTTTTTTAAAAACTAATTTCTTGATAGTTTTTGCCCCCCATTAAATTTTGCTTAAGGGACACTTAGGCCTTTAAGCACAGAACATAATTGTGATGTTAAAACAGGAAATAAGATAATAAGACTTTATTTAGTCAGTGATTATCATCAGTATTAATTTAAGGGTTTTTAATTTTGAAATTTTGTTATTTACATATGTAATTCCATTATCCACCCACGCAGATCTTTGGTGGTTCAAATCAAACTTCTCAAAAACAGATTTATTCTTTTATTTGAAAAGCCTCAGAGCAGGAGTCAGAAACATTTTCTGCAAAATATCCTTCAATTTGCGGGCCACATGGCCTCTGTGGCAACTGTTCAATTCTGCTGTTTCAGTGCTGCTGAAAACAGCCACAAACAATACTGAAGGGATTGACATGGCTGGAATGGACTTTTAGTTTGACCCCTACATTAGACAGTCATTTTCTTACCTTCAGGTGCTGACGTTTTATCTACGACATACATATATGTCATTCAAGTTATAAGTTGTGCATCACAATTAAAACTGTGTTGATTGCATTACAAAATGATCAGTATTTCAACTGGGAAGATATTTTAATGTCTAGATAATTGTTTATATATTGAAAAAAACAGTGGCCAAATTTCAAGTTAATTAGTAAACTAGGATATGGCTCAGCAAGTGTAACAATAATCCTAAAATTGCTATTAGAGCATTTCTTATTCATTGCTTTATAGTGAAATTTACAATTTAACTTTTTTGTCATAAAGGAGGATCTATAAATCTGAGTGAAAATTCTCAATAGGTATGCATTAATTTATTTCATGGCATTAATATGTAACAGAAACCATGGTAGTAAATCACATTGCTATTTTAATGCCCTGTTTTTATAAAATTTTTAAAGTCTCACATTCTGAAACAGTTTTTTTCATTTAATGTTAGTTTGGATGTTAGTGCCACAGTTAAACTATTATTTTATCCCTTGTGTAATATTTTTTAACTTTGTTAACATCTGTCTTTTGTTCATCTATAATGAATTCATTTTATGGAAGATGTAACTTCTTACTATATAAGAAATAATTTTATCCTTGGGCATTCATTGTGTAAGAGAATCAAGTCAGCCAAGCTAAATTATCCTACTATTATATCCTTAAAACTAATCTGGGAAAGTAAGAAACTTAATCATTGTATTTACCTTACAAGGTGGAAAGAATTAGTCACACCCTTTGTTTATAATCATGTAAAGATGATGTTGTGAAGAATTATTTTGTAAATCTTAAAGGTGGTATGAATAATGGTCTTTGTTTTCTTGACTTTTCCTCCTGAATACTTATGTCTTAGCAAGTGGTCAACATGATGGTTTTAAAAGCCTAATTGTTAGTAAATGATTGAGGCACAGTTAAAAATATGAATATCCACTGTTTACCACCATGTTATTCGAAATAGAAGTGACCATGTATACTCTCTTGCTTGAAGGAGTTTTTGACAAAAAAGCAATATCTGTCATTTGTAAATTTTCTTGTTCTAAAGAAAGCAGTTATGTTCTATAGATATAAATTATGTAAATAAAAGTTATTTTATACTATTTCTGTTGTTTTTTTCTTTTCAAATGACTTAAAGATATTATTAACCAAAACTTGTCAGTTTTCACCTACAGTGTATACTTCCTTCCTTCTATAAAAATATAACTGGAAGAATTAATCTTTTGTCATATGCATGCTGGGAAGGATATTTTTTTGATCTTGTAAGAATAAAGAATAGACTTCCCCCTCCCTCCCATTCAGGACATGTGAAGAGTTGCTTTCTTGTTCATTTATTCCTGATATAATGAATTTTTAGATATAAGAACTCAATCTCTTACTCTTTTTTCTTCCTACTTTGTTTTCTCTGTAGAGAAAGACAAATGGGAAACTTTAGTCCTGTGCATAATATAATCCTGGACTTCTGAAGTCCAGGATAGAATTTTTATCTTGAATTTGGTCATATCATCAAAGAGCTATATATATGAGCTGCCTACATTGTTTGTCTGCTTGTGGTTAGAGACATTATCTGAAATAGAATGAAAGCCTAAAGAAATTGATATTTTTACTGTAATGATATTACAGAGTTTTAAGAAATCATATCACCCAATATTCTATCTATGAGAATCCTACCTATGAGAATTTCTCCTTTGGCTTCAGTGCCAGGAATAATTGGGCTTCTGTTCAACTGGTCTGATTTTTTTTTTTTTTTAATATGGGCTGTGTGAATCCTTGTAATATTTTCTTTTTCAATGCAAAGCTAAATTTAGGATCAACCTATAGCAAGATAAAATACTTCACATCACATGAGTTATGTACTAAACTCATTCTATTTTTTTACCCTCATTTCTACTCCCCCTTCCCCGATTTGTAAAAACTCTCACTTTTTTGAAACAATAGGCTACTATTTCTTATGCTAGACACAGTACTAACCTTTTAGTATGCATTATTTCATATTTTTAAAAATTATACATGGCTTAAAAAGTCAAGTAGTGCTATATTTCAGACAAGCTGTTTCTTCTGTTACTACCTATTTCTAAATATGGTTATTCTGTTATTTACAGAATTTACAATGTTAGACATTGTTAATTGACTTTGTCATGGTACTTAAGAATTTTAGCTTTCTTGGGGTACCTGGGTGGTTGAGTCAGTTAAGCATTTGCCTTGGGCTCAGGTCATGATCCCAGGGTCCTGGGATCAAGCCCCTCTTTGGGCTTCCTGCTCAGTGAGGAGCCTGCCTCTCCTTCTCCCTCTGCCTGCTGCTCCCCCTACTTGTCTCTCTCTCTGTCAGGTAAATAAATAAAATCTTGGGCGCCTGGGTGGCTCAGATGGTTAAGCGTCTGCCTTCGGCTCAGGTCATGATCCCAGGGTCCTGGGATTGAGTCCCGCATCGGGCTCCCTGCTCCTTGGGAGCCTGCTTCTCCCTCTGCCTCTCTCTCTCTCTCTCTCTCTGTCTGTCTCTCATGAATAAATAAATAAAATCTTTAAAAAAAAAAATAAATAAATAAAATCTTAAAAAAAAAAAATTTTAGCTTTCTTAACACTCCCCTCCTTGCTTCCCTCTTAATACGTTAATCATAAGGTTTAGTCCATATTTAGTATTGTTGTTGCATTAATTGTAATCAGTGCTGTACCACTTTATGTACTAAGGTGACATGGTAGAAGCTTTTGTTTTTCTTGGAGTTAATTGCTTCACTTTTTCATTTGCTTTGGGTTTTAACTTTCCACACCCTCCAGCAAGTGTGTAAAATGCCTCTGCATATAATTTTCCACATGGCCAGACCATCAGATAAAGTGTTTTCTTCTTTTTTTTCATGGAAAACTTTCTGTAGCTCTTTCTTCCTGTTGTAAACTGGACTAGGGCCTTTACAGATCTCTACGTGCAGTACAGCTGTCCACATGAGACTTCCCTTGGCCATTACTCTGTGACTTCCTACCTCTCTTTCCTGGTTTAGATTCTGTTTCTTGAGCCCATGCCATTGTCTTTCTTGGTTTGTTTTGGAAGCCACATCTTCCACTGTTTACTGCAAAAGGGTACATGGGTGATAACATTATTTAAAACTTTGTGTCTGAAATTTCTTTATTCTACTCTCAGTTGGGCTATGAATAGAATTCCTCAATAATCTGGAAAATAATTTTTACATCATTTTGAAGGCATGCTCCATTGTCTTCCAGTTTTCAGTGTTTTTAAGTTTGGTGCCATTCTGATTCCCTATCCTCTGAATGTGGCTTGCCTATTTACAGTTTTTTGACCTGGTATTCTGCACAATAATGAGCTTTGGTGTAAGCCTGCCCTCCTTTCCTGCCCCTACATTCATGCTGCTGGACACTTAATGGACCTTTTTAATAGGGAAATTCATTTATGAGTTTCACAACCCCAAGATCAAGAGTTGCATTGCTCTATCACCTGAGCCACCAAGGCTCCCTAGTACTTGGTGTTCTTTGATACCATTATCAATGGATTTTAAAATGTTTTTTTCTAATTGTTTATTGCTGAAATATTCAAAAACAACTGATTTTTGTATTACAATTAAGATTTTAACAATGGCATTTTCTGTAACAACCATTCGTAGTCTAGTCTTAAGGTTTTTTTTTTTTTTAAGACTTTATTTGAGACAGCATGGGAGAGAGCATGAGCAGGGAGGAGGGGTAGAGGGAGAGGGAGAAGCAGACTCCCCACTGAGCAGGGAGCCCAATGTGGGGCTTGATCCCAGTACCCCAAGATCATGACTGACTGAGCCACCCAGGTGCCTAGTCTTAAGGTTTCAAACCAAGCCTTGGAGATATTAAAGCAAGCGTTTCAATATTATAGAATGCTATCTGACCATAACAGACAGAAACTCAATCATAATGATAAGATACACAGGGTAAGTATAAACTAAAATTTTAAATAAGTATAATATTAAGTATGAACTTAAATTGTTTAAAGATTTTATTTGAGAGAGACAGCGTCTGAGAGAAAGAGTGCACAAGCAGTGGGGAGGGGCAGAGGGAGAGGGAGAAGCAGACTCCCCACTGAGCAGGGAGCCCGACACAGGGCTTGATCCTAGGATCCGAGGACCCCGAGATCATGACCTGAGCAGAAGGCAGATGCCCAACTGACTGAGCCACCCAAGCGCCCCAAGTATGAACTTAAATTTAATGCCAACCAGGAAACAATTGCTAACCTCTCATTTATCTAATAAATTTAACGGCTAGCAGAGTATCTAGTCTCCTTATAACATCTGTTTTCCCATCCTAATAATTTCTCATTCAATGGCTACAAAGTTTATAATCTCTAGCTTTGATTACATTTTCTAGCCAAGGTTTAAATTGGAAATGCTTAAAATTTTATTTCCACATTTCCTTCCCTTCTACAGATTTTTAAGATTCTTGATCTCATATTTTTATTTCCAAAATCTTAAAAAAATTTTTTCATAATCCTGTTCTTGTTTCATGAATGCAATGTTTTTTCATTTCTCTAAGGAAGTTACAGTTTCTTCTGTTCCTTGTACTACTGGTTTCTTCTGAGGTTTTCTTGGTTGCGGTGGGGGTCTTTTTGTCATTTTGAAAACTTTCCTCAAATGCCTGTTGATCCTTGGCTATCCGTGCATCTGTTAGAGAAAGTTTCTAAAAAGTTGATTGGGAACTTTTACAAGCTTACTAAAGTGTAGATAGGTTATGTCAATTTGTAGGTTACACCGTAGGTGCATTATTTTCCAAGGAGCTCTTCCATTGGGAAACCTCAAATACCACTCTACCCTTTCTGTGAAGTGGTAAGGTATCTCTAGATTCCTTCCTATAATAAACCTGGTAGCCAGCATTTTAGAACTTGGAGGAAAAAGGGAGTTGGGAAACGGAATTTCTTGAATTGGCCTCCAGACTTTGTTAATCTTGTTGGTTTCAATCTGGCACTTCACTCTTGCCTAGTGTCCCTATATTTGGAACATCTGTGATTCAGTTTCTTCAGATAATATATGTCTCCTATCTCCTGGGCAAAGTGGGAGTGGAAACCTAGGGTTCTAACTACTGCTTATACAGATTTTCAAGTAGTTGCACTGTCTCTTGGTCTCTACCACCTCTCCCCACACCTATCCACACCTTACTCTGTTCTCAGTACCACCAATTCCTGAGCCTTCCAGGGATTTCTGGGAGGCAAATCGACTTACTTGTTTTTCTCTTTCACTGCAAACACTTAGATTTCAGCTTCCTTTTTTCCTGCTAAATTATTCCTATTTTTGCCTACTGTCTTCATGTCTCCTACTTTATTTTGGTTTTTAGAGAGGCAGAGTGCACATGCAATGGGAGGGGTGCAAGGAGAGAAGGAGGGAGAATCCCAAGCAGGCTCCACATCCAGTGCAGAGCCTGACGTGGGGCTCGATCTTACCACCCTGAGGTCGTGACCCGAGCTGAAATCTAGAGTCGGTTGGTGGCTTAACTGACTGAGCCATCCAGGTGCCCCATATCTCCTACTTTAATTGAAGGTGGGATATGAATTCTTTTTTGGCGTTCCTTTGTTGCCATGGGATCATTTATGAGAGAAAGAAGTAAAAACATCTTTATTTCCATCATGAAAGTTGAAATATTGTATTCCCTAAAGTAAAAAGTAAACTGAACACTATGAACAAATGTACATCAACAAACTGGATAACTAGATGAAATGGACAAATTCCTACCAACACAAAACCTACCAAGACTACATCACAAAGAAACAGAAAACTTGAATAGATCTATAGTGAGAAGACTGAATCAGTAATTAAAAAAAACAAACAAAAAACCCAAACTAAAACAAAACAAAAACCTCCAGACAAAGAAAAGCACTGGACTTCATGGCTTCACTGGTAAATTCTACCAAACATTTAAAGAACTAAATCTCAAACTTTTACAAAAAATTGATAACACTTCCTGACCCGTTCTGAGGCCATCATAATCCTGATACCAAAGCCAGACAAAGATATAAGAACCTTATAGACCAATATCCCTAATGCATGTTGATGCAAAAATCCTCAATAAAATACTGGTGAAATGAATTCAGCAGCATATTAAATGCTGAATGATAACTGAAATATACCACATTAACAGAATAAAGAGGAAAAAAGGCACACATGATCGTCTCAATTGATGCAGAAAAAGCATTTGACAAAATCCAACACTCTTTCGTGATAAAAATACCAACTAGAAAGAGAAGAAAACTACCTTAGCATCATAAAGGCCACATATGAAAAATGCACAGCAAACATCATACTCAGTGGTGAAAGACTGAAAGCCTTTCCTTTGAAGATCAGGAACAAGGAAAGAATGTTCACTTTTGTCACTGCTAGTCAACATAGTACTGGAAGTCCTAGCCAGAGAAATTCGGCAAGAAATTAGGGAAGTCCTAGCCAGAGAAATAAAAGGCATTCAAACTGGAAGGAAAGAAGTAAAATTATATTTTGCAGATAATGAATATGTAGAAAACCCTAAAGATCCCCCCACACACACATGAAAAAATTGTTAGAATAAATGAATTCAACAAAGTAACAGGATACAAAGTCAACACACAAAAGTCAGGTGCACTTTTAATACACTAACAATGAACAAGTTGAAAAGAAAGTTACAAAGACAATTCCATTTATAATAGTATTAAAAAGAATAAAATACAAAAAGAATAAAATAGGAATTAAGGTGTAAGACTTGCACAATGAAGGGCGCCTGGGTGACTCAGTTGGTTGGGCGACTGCCTTCTGCTCAGGTCATTGTCCTGGAGTCTCAGGATAGAGTCCCACATTGGGCTCCCTGCTCCTTCTGCTTCTCCCTCTGACCCTCCCCCCTCGCATGCTCTCTAGGTCTCTCTCATTCTTTCTCTCAAATAAATAAATAAAATCTTAAAAAAAAAAAGACTTGCACAATGAAAACTACAAAACATTGCTAAAAGAAATTAAGGAAGACACAAATACATGGGAACACATCCATGTCCATGGATTGTAAAACTTAATACTGTTAAAATGTCAACACTATGGAAAGGTGAGCAACAGATTCAATATAATTCCTACCAAAACCCCAATGACATTTTTTTTTTTGCAGAAACAGAAAAACCCATACTAAAAATAATACAGAATCTCAAGAAACTGGCCCTAAATAGCCAAAAACAAAAATAAAACGAAACGAGAAAACATGAAAAAGAAGACAAAGCTGGAAGACTCATGAAGTTGTAAGACCCAGCGCCAGAAAAGCAATGGACGCAGGAGACACCAAAGAAATATTTGTTGAATGAATAAATATGTATCTCTAAAGAGTTTTGTTTCTTAGGGCAGCTTAATGCCTGTTCAGTTTCCAGCTCTCATATAAGGATACGATTTTTCATGTCCCAGTCCCGTTCTATTAACAGGGGAAGAAGAAAACAGCACGTAAAAAGTGAACTGAGACGGATGCCAGAGAAACCGAACCTTACCGGGCCAGCTCAGCCCCGAGAGGGGAGGTGTGGTATCCCGGGTAGCTCCGCCTCCGGACCGCGGAGTTCCCGAGCTCGCGAGGTGACAGGACCTCGCGGGGCTGCGCCTCTGCCCTGATTGGCTGAGTTCAGGGGGCGTGGTGCGCAGCGACGACCGGTTATGGCCGGCGTGCGCGGACACGTGCCTCGGCCGGCCTGAGAATCTGGGAGTTTCGGGCGGTTTTGGGGCTGCGAGGAGAGCGGAGCGGTATCCCGAATCCGGGCATCCGGAGGGGAAAGAACCGACTCTCAGCGTGCCCGGGACCCTTTCTGGAGCTGGTCCCTCGCTCCCTGCCGGCTGTCATGTGGGCTGCCCTGAAGTCAGCCCTGCGGCCCTGCGCCCGCGTCTTTGTCCCCGGGCCGCGCGCTTATCACGGGGACTTGGTGGCCACGCTGGGCACCCAGCCAGACTCGGGCTCTGCCATCTACCAGGTAGGCTGGGTGAGCGCCCCGGCAGCCCGGGCCTGGAATCCCCTGAGTGAGCCTCTGAGTCCTCTTCCAGCTGTCCGCCAGTGCCGGCCCGACTAGGAAGCAGGTGGAGGGTGGGCACACTTTAACAGCTCTTTTGTTTTCTCTGGAACCCCCAGTCCTGATTCTGGGACGCAGCGTAGGTCGTGAAGTTTGCAAAAGAAGATAATTCCAAATCAAATACATCTTAGTTCACTTTTAGCCCTGGCACTGTGCATTGTATCTTTGAAATCAGTGGTTCTCAAAACCTGACAATGCTGAGCATTGTCAGCTGAGGAACTTGTTCGGTGTACAGCTGCTTTAAGCCCCACGCTGGACCTTTGGGGTCTCTGGGGTGGGGTCTCGGTGTTTGCATTACTAATGAAATCCTCAGGACTTGGCGGCGGCCAGCTTTGGGAACCACTGGCCTAGCACAGATAACCCTGGGTTGTGCTTAAAAGACTTTAGTTGAATAGTTGTTAATAGAACGTACTTATCGCACACTATCTTGAATGGCCTTTTTTGGAATCGGGAGGTATAGCAAGGTCAAAGAAACAGCTTGTGAAGTATCAGGGCTGGAGAATTTCACCCTGTTCCATGGTTTCTGAGCTTATACAGATAACGTTTAAATTGTACAGATAACTTTCAGAAAAGACATTTTAAACAGTTTCTTGAAATTGAAAGAAAATAAGCAGGCTGAGTCAGAAACAATAGCTAGTTAGAGTCTTCCAAGAGTCTAGATTTTTCTGGGGTCAGGAAAGAATGTTTAATTCAGTAATATTAAGTGGCTTCTGTGGTCTAGGTAGAATTTTAGGTATTTGGTATAGGTGTGTAGGAATGGAATCATAATTTTGTGGGGAAGATGGACAAGAAAGCGTGTAACTGTAGTGCATTATGATAAGTGGTGTCTAAAGCTTGAAAAGGTAGTTACAGAAAGCTGCAGATAGGAAGCGATGAGTGAGTTGGATCTTGATCTTTGGGTGAGAGCTGGCCAGGTTCAGGGCTGAGGAGGAAAGGCAAGACTATACAAACTAAGGGAGTTATGAGAACATAGATAAGCAAGTTACGAAAGAGTATATATAGTGGGTATGAGGACTTAGAAGTCATGACTAGGGTATGGAATTCATGGAGTAGATGAGAGTAGTGGAGGGCCTTGCATGCAGAAGCCACATTCACGTTTCATTTTGCAGGCTGTCTGCTAAGAAACTTAACGTGGAGAAGCTGCAAAATCCTATGGACGTGGTAGAATCATCAGTGCGGTGGCAGTACGGAGGATAGATTTCCTCCCATTTGGAATATGGCTTCTTGGCTGGGTGTTGTGGTTGCTGTAGGCCTTTGACTATTTTCTGGAGCTTCTAAAAAGTTATTTTAGCCAGTTTTGGGTCATTTTGGGGTGTGTCTGTGGAGAATGAAGGCCTGGAGCTTTCTGGTCTACTATCTTTTTCGGCTTTAGGTTCAGTCTGTTTTTGATGGTGGCTGTTAGCTAGGGGTTAGGGAGTGTGGGCCTGAGCATATAACTCCTTTCTCTGTGTCAGGTGTTTAATGTTCTGGTCTCGGCTGTGCACTAGTAATTAGGGAGGTAGTTGTGGTAGGATGCAAAAGGCACTGGTCTAGTCTTTCATGTGTGTTAAAAACTAACAACATATTTCCACGGAGAAAAAAAAAACCCTGAAGGGAAATAGGCGAAAGTGTTAACAGGGGTCCTTATGAGTGGGCATATACAGTGTAACATATTGGTGTAAGAGCAAGGGTCTGGAGCTAGTGTGCCTTGGTTTAAATTCCAGCTCTACTACTTGTTAGCTGAGTGATTTGGGGCTACTTAACCTCTGTGTGCCTCAGTTACCTCAGGTGTACGGTAGCATTAATAATTGCATATGTCATAGAGTCATCAGGACAGTTAGTGACACTTACAACATGGTCTGGGATATAATAAGCCCTCAAGAAATATCAGCTCTTGCAACTTTTTCTTCTTTCCACATCGTCATCTCAGGATCTGTTTAGCCAGCTTTTGCTTCAGTAATGCTGAATAGCAGACAGTCCCAAGATCTCTGTGTCCAAAAGAACAAATATTTACCTTTTGCTCTGGGATCTATGGGTTCGTTGTGGCAGTTCTTGCCTGGGCAGTGCGTCCGATGCAGGTCTGCTCTATTTGTTTTTGATTCCAGAACCCAGGCAGAAGGGACAGTGGCTGCTGAGAGATGCTCCTCTCCTAATGGAAGGCCGGGGCACAGGAGGAGAGTATGGAAACACTGTCCCTCTTAGAGCCTCTGCTTGCAGTTGATACACTTCACTTTTGCCCACATTCCACTGGTCCAAGCAGGTAAAATGGACAGATTCATGGAGTGTGGGTGGGGAACTATAATCTCACACTGAACCTTGCTGTTATTAACAGATTATTGATATTCAGTAATGGTCCAGAGGGACAGAAGAATTTTGGACACGTAGTACAATCTGCGTTATGCTCTAGAGGTGGCTGCTGAAGTGCCACCTATTATGTATGAGTTCAGGTAAAGGAGGAGGAAGGGTGAGTAGGCAAAAGGACACCCTCACCTGCCTGTTCGCTTTTTTTTTTTAAAGATTTTATTTATTTATTCATGAGAGACAGAGAGAGAGGCGCAGAGGGAGAAGCAGGCTCCCGAGAAACAGGGAGCCCGATGTGGGGCTCGATCCCAGGACTCTGGGACCATGACCTGAGCCGAAGGCAGACGCTTAACCATCTGAGCCACCCAGGCGCCCTGCCTGCCTGTTCTCTTTTTAAGAAGCCTTTCTAGAAGTCATGCCTAACAACTTCTTGCCTATCTTTCCTTGGTTAGAATTAAGTCCCATGGCCACACCTGTCTACAAAAGGAGGCTAGGATGTTAGTTTCTCAGCGGGGGCATGTTGTCACCTTGAATAAAAGTGGGATTTCATCATCAAGAAAGATGGGAAGAATGGATATGGCTAAGCAGTTCTCAGGGCCTGCCGCAGATAATAAGTAGTATGGAGAGATTGGATGTGTTCTTCATATGTTGGATGTTAAAAGATTTCACTTAGGTGTACCCTTATCTTCTGGGACCTCTACCTACAAGTGGTAAACTTTTTTTTTTTTAAGATTTTATTTATTCATTTGAGACAGAGAGGTACAGAGAGAGAGAGAGCCTGAGCAGGGGGAGAGGCAGAGGCAGAGGCAGAAGCAGGCTTCCCGCTGAGCCAGGAGCCTGATGTGGGGCTCGATCCTAGGACCCTGGGTTTATTACCTGAGCCGAAGGCAGACGCTTAACCATCTGAGCCACCTAGCCACCCCTACAAGTAGTAAACTTTGATGCAAACAACCCACAAGAGGGAAATGAAAGATAAAGCCATGCCTTGGATGGGAGATGGCACATGGGAGCCCTGGCCATGGTTCGGTTTCTCTTCACAATTTTCTTAGTAGCTAGGAATATGTACTGTTCACTGTCACTTCTTATGGCCATGTGCTTCAGAAAGCCTTGGCAATTAGAGACAGTTTCCTTTATTTCTTAACTGGGAGGCTGGCTTAGCTAGGGTAAAGAGCCCTCATATAACTAGCTTTAGTTTTGATTGACTTTGTTCTAAATTGGGTGATGTCAGAGCCTGTAGTGATTGTGCCTTCGGTTTAAGTACACTTTAGTAGAGAGTTACTTGTTTTCTCTGTGCACGTGGGAACTATTTTTCATCACTTCTAAACTTTGATGCTTGTGTTTTGCAAAGTTGACAGGAGACTGGGAGGTAGAGTGCAGGTGGAGGGAGGTCAGCTAATTCTTGATGAGCTGGGTGGGGGAAAAAACTAAGGGCGCAGCAGAATTCCATCAGCCTCTCAATCTTCAAGGGAATGAGAACTTGTTAAGGGACACTGGGAGGATACACTTAGCATTGCGGGGAAAAGTCTATGGGACAAACAGAACATATCAAGACAAAAAAAAAAAAGATGGGAGAACTTAAATTTCAGAAAAGACTTAAGAAACATCAGCCAATTGTGGCTATACAGACCTTCCATAGAGTCCTATTTAAATAAGCAAACTTTAAAAAACATCTATTTGCCAGTTGAGGAAATGTCTTCACTAATTGGTATTTGCTGTTTTTTTTAAAAGATTTTATTTATTTATTTGACAGAGAGGGATAGAGAAAAGAATCATAGGAAGGCAGAGTGGCAGGCAGAGGGAGAGGGAAAAGCAGGCTTCCGGCTGAGCGGGGAGCCCGATGCGGGGCTCGATCCCAGGACCCTGGGACCATGACCTGAGCTGAAGGCAGACACTTAACCGACTGAGCCACCCAGGCGCCCCTGGGTATTTGCTGTTTTTAACAGATTATTGATACTCAGTAATGGTCCTCATCTTTTGGAGATTTGGAAACACTGGCTACAAAAGGAGTGCTATGTCTAGGATTTTCTTCAAAATAATTCAGGGTGGGGGTGTGGGGCAAGAAGGAAACAACTTTAGCCACATATGGATAATTAATTGTTGAAGGACATTGGCTACATTTCATTATGCTAGTCTTCTTGTTTTTGTATGTGTTTGAAAATTTCCATGGAAGAAAGTTAACTTTCTTTTTCTATTTATTTATTTGAGAGAGAGAGCTCGCAAGCATGAGTGGGAGTTCGGGGTGGGGGAGGGGCAGAGGGAGAAGCAGATGCCTCACTAAGCAGGGAGCCTGATTCGGGACTCGATCCCAGGACCCTGAGATCATGACCTGAGCTGAAGGCAGATGCTTAACCGACTGAGCCATCCAGGTGCCCCAGCTTTCTTCCATTAACAACAATGACAAACCCCATTTAAGGGGAGCTGAAAATGTTGCTGAAACCCCTACCTTTTCACTTTGTCATGCTCTAACCTGTCTGTTCGTATCCTAGTGCTGTTGAGCTAAGCAAGACTGAGCAGAAGATAGTATGTCATAATGAGTGGATGGACTTGCTTGAGAATTAGCCCCATATAATGTCACTGGAAAAAAACATTTTTTCTTCATCTTATCAATTTTATTTCTTTATTTATTTTTAAAGATTTTATTTATTTATTTGTGAGAGAGAGGGAGAGAGCTCAAGCAGCGGGAGCGGCAGGCAGAGGGAGAAGCTTACTCCCCGCTGAGCAAGGAGCCCGATGTGGGACTCCATCCCAGGACCCTGGGATCATGACCTGAGCTGAAGGCAGAGACTTAACCGACTGAACCACCCAGGCATCCCATCATTTTATCAATTTTAAACTAACAAAATAGGATTATTCCTAGGTAAATGTATTAACCTTTCACATACCTTGCTGCGATAATAGGTATTCAGGTTTTTTCTGCATTGGCACTAAATTCCTTTCCTTCCTTCCTTCCTTCCTTCCTTCCTTCATTTACTTATTTATGTTAGAGGGAGAGAGTGAATGCAGGGGGGTGGGAGAGGGAGAGAGAGAATCTTTTTTAAAATTTATATTTTTAAAATTTAAAATCAGTTATTAAGATATAGTATATTACTGGTTTCAGTGGTAGAGTTTAGTGAATCATCAGTTGCATATAACACCCAGTGCTCATTACATCAAGTGCCTTCCTTATTGCCCATCACCCAGTTACCCCATCTCTCCACTCCCTCCCCTCCAGCAACCCTCAGGTTGTTCCCTATAGTTAAGAGTCTCTTATGGTTTGTCTCCCTCTCTGATTTCACCTTATTTTATTTTTCCCTCCCTTCCCCTAGGTTCATCTGTTTTCTTTCTTAAATGGAGAGAGAGAATCTTAAGCAGGCTCCATGCCCAGCATGCCCAATGCGGGGCTTAATCTTACAATCCTGAGATCATGACCGGAGCAGAAATTGAGTTGGATGCTTAACCGACTGAGCCACCCAGGCGCCTCATTAAATTCCTTTTATTGACCTTGGAGTCACATGTGGAACAATATACGTGGCCTCTCTTTTCCTACAGTGCATTTTTCAGATTATCTTTTAATGATTACTAAAAAGTGAAGAGATACAAGGGTTAACAGTTAGGATGAGGTTCCTTTCGAGAAATGCCATAAACTCAAAATGAGCAAGTCTTTTGTTAAAAACCACAGAATCAGTTTGTGAATTGGAGAAATTGCTGAGCTGTGAGTGACAGAGATTGGAAGTGGAATTCCAAATAGTGGCGCATTTGGGAAGGCTGCCTGCCCTGATGAAGGCACTTCGCCATCCACGGGGATTCTTAAGATCAGGGTTTCTGAGGTGTGCCCTGCTGGCTCAGTCAGTACAGCATGCGACTCTTGCTCTCTGGGGTCCTGAGTTTGAGCCCCACGTTAGGCCTAGAGCTTACTTAAAAAAAAAGGGGGGGGGAAGGTCTCTGAAACACTAAGCCACCTATGTGGTGGATTTTTAACCTTAGAATAAAGGTAGCAGTTGACAAGATAGACCTGAAGCAGAAAACAAGCAAAAAAGAATAACTTTGCCTGTGCAGTGAAATAATCTGCTTTCCTTTCTATTTAGCAACATAGTAATCCAATCCTTTCCTCACCCTGTGGGGTGAGCAGCAGGTAGAGGGAGCCCAGGGCCTGAGGCCAGAATAGCACCCATCTCTGAGCCCCAGGGTGGCAGCTGCAGCCCAGGGTCAGATGAGAGAGCCTCACCGAGAAGATGGCCTTTGGCTCCAGATGGGAGTTGGCCACCAACTCCGTCTCCCAGAGCTCTTCTCCGCCTCCCGGTTTTTTTATCCAAGGAGGCCTTTTCCTTACAAACTCCCTCTGCTGGATCTCTCGCAGATGACGAAGGAGTTCAGGACACAGCCCTGCTTACTAGGACTCGTTCTCAGCCCAGGAGGCTCTCGGGACAGAGGTAGCTCCCTTTACGCTTGGGATGTTGGGTTTTGAAAGGCTGCTGAAAATCTCTTCATGCCCTTCAAGTGGCGTTAATACATGTTGCTGCAGTACCACCCCTGGGTGACGGGCGGGACAGACGTGCCCTGGTGCAGAGCTCTGTTTCAGTCTGAGGCAGTTCATAAAGTTAGGAGTTTCTGAATTGGCTAAATGTGAGTAAACAGGATCTGTAACCTGGGCTTAAGAGCAAAAGTCTTGGCTTTCACTGCCTCATGCTATTAATATCAACAAACACTATGGAAATCTGAAAAAGTTCTGGTGATTAAAGAACTGTGCCTTTTACTAAATCCCCTTTTTTGGTAGGTTTCCAGTTTGCCTGGAGTGGAGCTCAGAAATGGAGACTGTGGACCAGCGTTGCTCTGCTTTTGGTTGGACATTTGAATCCTTGGGGAACTTAAAGTGATTAATGCCCAGGCCATACCTGCAACCAATGACATCAGAATCTCTGGGGTTTATTTTTGTTTTTATTTTTCAAAGCTTCCCAGTGATTCCAGTGTCCAGCCCAGGTTGGGAAACAACGTTCTAGGCAGATTCTGGAGTTCGTTGTTGGCAGGTTGTCTGCCCTTGGACAGACAGGACTTGGTGGGCCTCGAAGGGAGGTAGTCACAGGGCTAGTAGACCGTGATTGGGACCTCCCTACTCCAGGGCAAAGGTTCTTTCCCTAACAGTATCTTGCTTCTCTCTTTTTTGTCTTCTGGATCTTGCAGAGCAAGAGAATGTAGCAGAAACCTTGACCTTGGGAGCTCTTAGAGCTGTAGAAAATAAGAAATACTAGAGTTCTATAAAGACTGTAAATTCATCTAATTTTGAACAGCTGGAAAGCTGTGTAGTACTGTCATGGAAAAGGAATTAAATCAGAGATGTTAAAGACATTGTGGGGAGCAAAATGTGTTAGTGGTTCAGCTTGGAATTTTCAAAAATAACTTGCTACTTACTGGTCTAAAGTAATGAGCTGATCAGACAAATTTATAGAACAGCAAAAAGTTAGGCCTTCTACCCTTTATCCACCTCTCACAGTGTATAGTCTCCTGTATATTCTCTACAGAATTTCTAAAGACGTGCAAACATAGAGTTTTGTTCCCTTTTAAAACAAAATAGGACCTGTTTTTTTCCTCTGGGCTCTGCTTTTAAGAGTCATTTATCAGTAAGCAAGTATTTCTGCATTGGTTAGAAACTCCTTGGGGCAGGTACTGAAGGGACATGAACAGTAAGACGGCATTCTCACTCTCAAAGGGCTCATGTTCCTTAAAACAGGGAAACAAATAGAAATCAATGAAGTTCAGTTGATGCTTATGGAAGAAAGATGCTAAAATGAGTAGGAATGACCAGAAATGGGGTTAGAGAGGAGAGGCAACATGATCTGTGCTTTAAAGAAGGGTAAGATTTGGATACGTGGACCAGAGAGGGATGGCGGGAAGAGGAGCTTGGACAAAGATGGACAGGCAGGAATTCATCTTTTCCATCCAATGGAGTGACACAACACAGAGGCCACATGGGTGGGGGGTGGCCCTGCGTGAAGCCACATGGGGTTGGCATGTGGTGTTCTCATCAACTTACTGTGGCTAAAAAGAAAAAAAAATAATAATTGCTTTCTAATATTACTCTTCCTTTCTTTTTTTCTGTTTTAGGAAAACTATGAACAGATGAAAGCACTAGTAAATCAACTCCGTGAACGAGCAGAGGAAATAAGATTAGGTAAACATTCATTTATTCTTCATTTTATGCTGTTAATGAAGATGATCCTTGATAGTTATTGTTCTAGGAACAACTAGTAGCAGCGAGCTTTGACTCTTTAAGACTGTGTATTTGTTGGTGTGCTGACATTTTATTTTTTCCTCTTACTTGGCCAGTTTTTCTGCTCCTATAGCACTGCCAACTGTCTGGGCAACAGTTAAATTTCAGATTCATCAATTTTAAAGCATTGCTTATGGTTTATTTTAGCCACGGCATCCACTGAAATTTTTGTTTTGCCTGAAGCAACTGAAACATTTTCTGTTCGTTATATTCATCCTAGGTACTTATTTTGCATAATTATGCATTTTGTTATATAACTTGGAAGTAATTTCTGTGTGGGTTTATTGCTAATTAAATGAGATTTCCTAAGAACTTTGCAGATTGTCATTATTTTCTGTTAAGTTGTGGACATAATAGACATCCTTTTGCTTGGAAGAAATTGCATCATGTGGGGAATGTAAAATATTAATGTATAAACAAATACCACGTTGAATTTGACTGTGCCATTATTGGTCAGTGTCAAGTTTACTTTAGAAGGCTACGTGACTTGAAACTGAAAGCCATTTCCAAAATAAGATTCTTTTTTTTTTTTTAAGATTTTATTTATTTATTTGACAGAGAGAGAGCGCGCGCAAGCAGGAGAGCGGCACGCAGAGGGAGAAGCAGGGAGCCCGATGTAGGGCTTGATCCCAAAACCCTGGGACCATGACCTGAGCCGAAGGCAGATGCTTACCCGCCTGAGCCACCCAGGCGCCCCTTGATGCACATAGTTCGAGCAATGCATGTAGTACAGTTGAAGTGACATTTGTGCTGTGCAGGCACGGGTGGACAGATGTGTTGTGATGTCCCCAGCTGACAGCGATTAAAGGTCCTGTAAACTGTAAAATGCTTCCTGATTTCAGGAATGTTAAAATGTGAACAAAATGTGTATATTAGAATCAGTGCCATATGGTATACGAGACTGAAGGAAACAGGCTTTTTTATCTCAGAGTTTGTGGAAACGGAGATAGCACAGAATCTTTAAGAATAATCTTCGGAAAACTGATGTGCGGTGTCACATTGTTTCTGTGGCTATCTACATATCCTAGGCTAGTTTATTTATTTTTTTATTTTTAAAAATTTTTATTTATTTATTTGTCAGAGAGTGAGAGCACAAGTGGGGGGACGGCCAGCAGGCAGAGGGGGAGGGAGAAGCAGACTGCCCGCCAAGCAAGGAGCCCAATGTGGGACTTGATCCCAGGACCCTGAGATCATGACCTGAGCCAAAGGCAGACACTTAACCCACCGAGCCATCCAGATGTCCTGTCACAGGCTAGTTTAAATGCCCGAGGAGCTTAATTCTGTGATCTGAGAATCTGCATCAAGGATAGCCCTGTTTCTGGGTTTTCCTAACAAAACCAGAATTCAGTAGCTGTTCCACATTGCAAATTCAGACTCTAGGCAGAATTAAGAAAGAGCGGTTTTGTCTTAAGTCCTTGTGAAAGAATATGCGTATATCTTACCACCTCTGTGACATTCCAGACTCTCTGGCCACCCCTTCGCAGGCACTTATGTCCCCTGACTCTCTAAAGACCCTCAGCAAGGCCTGGCTTTTCTTTCAGTGCCTTAGGCTCATTTTTCTTTTAATATTTATTTTTAAACACTATTATTAAGGTATAATTGACATACAATAAACTGCATTATTTAAAATGTACAATTTGAGTTTTGACATATGGACATACGTGTGAAATGATCACAATAAAGATAATGTGCCTCTTCCAGAAGTTTCCTCTGTCCCTTGGTAACCTGTATCTCCCCTCCTTTCATATATCCTCACCTCCTACACCCAAACCCACCTCAGTAGAGGAGCTCATTTCCTCTAAGTGGTTGGGAGAAAGAGAACAGTGATTTGACCTAATTACACTGTTTTGGAACTAAATCTTTGCCTCCCAGAATTATTTTCATTTTAAAAGAAGGTTAGATATGTGATAAAATTTTCTTGGTAAGCTTAAGGCAGATATAATCTTAGAGATATGCCATCCGTCCCTTCAGAAAAAAAAAAAAATCCCCTTAAAGAGGCCTGGTTTGAAAAATAATACTTGGAAGCTTGAAGTAGATAAGAACTTGTTTTCTCACCTAAAAAAAAAAACAAAAAACAAACCCAGAGAAATAGCTTTCTTAAATAGCTGAACCCTTCATTAGCTTGAGAGCAAATTAAGATGAAATTCGTGGGCAGCAGTGAAACTAAACATTAAGGTACTGTGTGATCCTTCTGTTTCTGATCTGATACCTTGGCTTTCTGAGAAGTGGCTTGTCGATATTCCTAAGACACTGAGCCCGGCCGCTGTCAGTCTGGGGGAGGTTTGGTGTGCTGTGCACCTCAAGCAGCCTCATCTGGTGACCTCATGGACTCTTCAACAACTGTAATTTTCTTGGTCTAGAACAACATCAGGAAACATCGAAGACAATCTCTGAAGATGCTAACAAAACTGGACTTTTTAACTGATGTATTTGGTGTGCAACTCTCTCCTCTTTGGAGACAGTGTAAAAAGTTAGGGGTCACTTACCTTTAGGTAAGTCCTGCTGTGCTCATCATGGAGGTCATTTCTAAAATAGTGCTTTTTACCTGGAACAAATGAAGGTAGGAATTTTTCAAATTTCATATAGTATGTAGCAGAGTGCTAGGTATTTGTGGCAGGTATTTAATAAATGTGGTGTAGGTGAGGCAGTATTTACAGTGTATGAGTTGCAGAGAAGATACTAGGTTATTTAAGTAATTACCATCGAATTCAGAAAATGTATGATATGCTATGAAATCAGGGATCGATTTTTTTTTAATTCTAGTTTATTTACTTCAGAAACTAAAGCTTGTAAGTTGAGTGAATGATCTGAAAATTAGCTGTTTCTCAGAAGATATATTGAACTTTTAAAAGCACTATATTTTGCACTGTTTTATGTTTTTCTAGCCTTAAATTAATTGGAGACCTTACATGATGTCAGTCTAATCTAATCATGTTTTTATCTTAGGAGGTAATGAGAAAGCCCGAGAACTCCACAAATCAAGAGGAAAACTTTTAGCCAGAGAAAGAGTGGACAGTCTTATAGACCCAGGGTTCGTATATCCCAAGTGCTAACTCAGTGTTCTCTAGTCTGTGGTACTCTCTTAGACAGTTTTATAAATAAATGATTTTAAATTCTGGCTCTTACCCTAAGATTCAACAACAAATTTTTTTTTTACATATACATATTTTATTATATATAAAGAACAAAGTTTCATCAGGTAAGCAAAAGGATATAAATTATAGTCATAATTAATAGTTTCAAAAAGCCTTTAAATCACTGGGACCTTCTGTACAACATATAGGCCACATAGCCATTAATCAGAAATCTTGGTAGTTCTCCCATAAGAGTAATCTATAGTCTAGAGAAGTTGGCTTTTTACGAACTCTGTCGGGGCTAATGTGTTAGGCCTTGTAAAGGAATGCTGTTACAACTGGGGGAAACTAAAAATATTGAAGGGAGGACTACTTCTAGGATTATGTTTATTGTTGACAGTAATTTTAGAACCACAGAAAGTGTTAAAGACTTCTAGGTAAAATTCACACTATCTCATAATAAGAATGGATACCATTTTATAGTTGTATAAATGTTCTGGTCACAAATGAAAAAGGAGAAAGTGAGCTGAGAATGCAGAATGGAAAAGTCTAGAGAAGGAGGCAAGCAGATACAGACATAATTCAATCATAGCAAGAAAAGTACAGAGATGGTCCTTCCCAAGACTGAGTTGGCAATATTTACCTACATAAGCTAAAGCCTAGAAGAACAGTGCAACTTCTGTATATTCAACAGCAAATCTTTATTGAGAGGCTACTGTCGGGCACTGTCCTAGGAGATAGTGATACATCAGTGAACAAAACAGACAAAGATCCTTACTCAACTGGAGTTTACATTGTAGGAGCATGAGATGGAAAATAAATGATAAATGTGGTAAGTTATATAGTATATTAGAAGGTGATAAATGTTATGGGAAAAAAGGAATTAGATCAGAGTAAGGGAGAAGATGAGGGTCAAGTTGTAGTTTTAAATAAGGTGGTTAGGGTAGGCCTCTTTGAGAAGGTGATATCTTAGCGAAGATTTGAAGGAGTGAAGAGAGAGAGCCCTGAAGATACTGGTGAAAGAGTGTTACAGACAGAAGGAATGGCCAGTGCAAAGGCCCTGAGGTGGGAATGTGCGGGATGTATTGATACGCCCAAGAACCCCAGATGCTGGTGTGTCAGGGGTAAGAAGGCATGAAGGGGAGAGTAGTAGAGATGGGGTTCAACTCCATAAGACCTTGTAGATCAGTGTAAGAATTTTGGCTTTTAATCTGGGTGAAATGAGGAGACTTTGTAGGGTTTTGAACAGGAGACTTATGATCTATCTGACTTAGATTTGAAAAGAGTCATTCTAGCTGCTGTTTTGTGAGTAGCCTGGGGGCAGCAAGGGTAGAAGCACAAGAGGAGTTAGAGGAATGTGGCAGTGATTCAAGGGAGGTATGGTGGTGACTTGGACTAGGAGAGTGTAGTGGAGGTGATGAGGATGTCAGGTTCTAGGCATGTTGTCAAGACAGCTAACCCATCAGGATTTCCTGAAGGATTGGCACGGGAGACCGGGAGTGCACGTGGAGAGAAGGGAACGAGGACTCCAAAAGTATTTCTTATGACATGCACCTGTACCTCCAACCTGGAGACAAACACTGTTAACACCAAGTGTATATCCTTCTAGAATGTTCTTGTGCATATGCATATTAGACACATTTTTTTTAAAGATTTATATATTGAGAGAGCGAGCATGAGCAGGGGGAGGGGCAGAGGTAGAGGGAGAGAGAGGGTAGGCAGCAGACTCCCTGCTGAGTGGGGAGCCTGCCTTGGGGCTCGACCTCATGCTTATGACCCTGAGATCATGACCTGAGCCGAAACCAAGAGTTGGATGCTTAACTGACTGAGCCACCCGGGTGCCCCTTAGCCACTGTTTTTTTTTTTTTTTTTACAAGAGAAACGGAATCATACTAAATGTGTTTTTGTTTTTTTTTTTTAAGATTATTTATTTATTTATTTGACAGAGACAGTGAGGGAGGGAACACAAGCAGGGGGAGTGGGAGAGGGAGAAGCAGGCTTCCCGCTGAGCTGGGAGCCTGATGCGGGGTTCGATCCTAGGACCCTGGGATCATGACCTGAGCCAAAGGCAGATGCCTAATGACTGAGCCACCCAGGCGCCCTAAATGTGGTGTTTTATTCCACCCTTTCCCCACCACTTACTGGATCCTGAACATTTAAGTAAGTGAAAGGTAGAGTAATAAATACAGTGGTGAAGAGCCTGGTCCCTGGGATTAGATTGCTTATTAAAACCCAGTTCTGCCCCTTACTAGTTGTGTGACCTTAAACACGTGACCTAATTTCTGTGTTTTAGTTTCATCATCAGTCAATGGGGATCATAATAGGATCCACCTCAGGAGGTGGTTCTGAGGAACAAATGAGTTAGGTTTCTGGAGCTCCTAAAAGAGAGCCTGGTGCTGGGTGGGGGCTTACATTAGTGTTAGGTGCTAGTCTCTTTCTCTACTAATAAACGTATTTGTACAACATCTCTTAAAATAGGTACCTAGTATTCTATTGTATGGCTATAATGTGTAATTCCTCAAAATATCCACCCCAGATTTTGGTTAAATATTTTTTTTTTAGTAGGTTTTATATATATATATATATATATATATATATATACAGCATGCATACTTGAAACATTGGCTCATTAATCTTTTCCATATTTAACTTTTTAAATATGCTTTTTTTTTTAAAAAAAAATGACTATAATTCAAGCGATATCCTTTCTTCCCTTCAGGTCTCCATTTCTGGAATTATCTCAGTTTGCAGGTTACCAGTTATATATGAATGAGGAGGTCCCGGCCGGTGGCATTATTACAGGCATTGGAAGAGTATCAGGGTGAGTATTCTAGTTACACTCGATAATATGGGTCAGGAAGAAGACTGACAGGCACGGGCCATCACCCACTGCTTTGCGGGGCAAATGTGCAAGTTTTATGCTATTTGCATTATTTAGGACTGAGGCTTCCTACCCCAACATGTATTAGATTTATCTGTGGAGCTTTAGAGACAAAGATCAAAGGGGGGGAAGGGGAAACCATAGCACAAATCCTGGGGCTTGAATCCAAACATTCCTGCTTAATCAGACTCTGCGAGTGTGGGCTTGGCTTATGTCATTTTCCAAGGCTCTATAGGTGGGCTCTTGCACATATAGGGTGAAGACCAGTGTCCTAGAGGAGTCGTTCTCCAAGTGTGCTACCCAGGTAGCCTCAGCATCACCTGAGAACTTGTTAGAAACATAGATCACTAGATCTTCCTACAAAGTAACCAAATCAGGGGCACCTGGGTGGCACAGTTGGTTAAGCGCCCTACTCTTGATCTCAGTTCAGGTCTTGATCTCAGGGTCTTGAGTTCAAGCCCCACATTGAGCTCCATGCTGGGCATGGAGCTTGCTTAAAAAAAAAAAAAAAAAAAAAGTAACTAAATCAAATTTTGAGGGTGGGGCCCAGCAGTCAGTGTTTTTTTAAAAAGCCCTTCAAGATTCTTGAATGCTAACATTTGAGAACCACTCCGGACTTAGGAAATCCTAGATTGGTAGAAGTTAAATTTACTTGTGTATATTTATGTATGGCCTCACATTTGCCATGTCAGGTTAGCTTGCCAGGCATTGTAGTAAACGCTTCCCACTGATTAGTTGTTTTAATCGTCACCACAGCTCTGTGAGAATGGGTGGTATTGTCATCATCACCATTAAGGCAGGTCAGGAAGCCTGCTTAGCCAGGTAAATAACTCGCCTAAGATCAAGCCACTGGCAAAGCTGTGCTTGGACCTTAGGTGGTTGGACTCTGAGCCTGATACAATTGCATTTGACTCACATAATGGTTTATGGTGTGTTTTCCTCCACCTTCTCCCCATGATTCGTGCCTTCGGTGCACCTATAGCCATTAGCCATTGTTGCTTCTTCCCTCCTGTACCCCCAGCACTTCTCCACAGCTCTTTGCCAGCTATGATTTGCTTAATATTCACCCAGTGTGAAGACATTTTTTTCTTGGAGTCTTAGGGGACGCTTAAAAATAAACCTTTAAAAAAATGAGAAACTTCATGCAGAGCTAAACTGAATTCATAATCACGAAATAACCTAATTAAGTAGGACGGTTACTGTTAACTCTATCTCCAGTGATAATGATGGTCACCACGTTGGAGCATTCCTTTCCACCTTTCCTGTGCATATACTAATATTTTATTCTTATTTATGCTTTTGTATTTTTCATTTTCATTTTCTTTATTTGTTCCTTGTTCTTAGTTTATAAAGTTCTCAGCTTGGAAGGAAATTGAATTGCACGTAGGAATTGTATGGGTTCAGTTGTCAGCCTCAATTAGAATCCTGACTTCAGCATTTTATAGCTGTTTGACCTTTAGCAAATTGCTTGACCACTCAGTACCTTGGTTTTTTCAATCGGGAAAATACAATTCATGATCAAATGGAATAATCCTAGTAGCTACCAGAGAGGGGTGTCATGAAACAAGAGGAAGAAACAAGAAAAGGAAGAGAAATACTCCCTTCCTTAAGAGTTACACAATACAATTGATACTCTTGCCACTGAGAGTAGCAGTTGTGGGTGGCAGAGTTGAAGGTCTGGAATCTTTTCAGAGCCACGGTCATTCGCGAAGTCATTAAAAGCTTTTATACCTTTATTACTTTTGTATATTTTTGAGTAGTGCTGGGTATATTGAGAGAGGCTCCATGGTAAGTTCGGAATAGACCCCAAGAAATTTCGTGAGAAAACTTTTTGTATTGAATTTATAAACCAGCTTAGAATCAAGGGCTCTTTGCCCGAAATAGTAACTGGCTGAAGAATAACTGAGCTGCAGTCTTTCTCTCTGGCAAATTTGCGGTTTTTTTTAATCATGTCCTATATGGGATGGTCCCTGCCTGCTCTCCTCACCTTACCTTTGTACTTAACACTTTAGCCATCCTGGTCTTGCTGTTCTGTGAACGCACTAAACTCATTTTTGCTTTAGGGCCTATACTCGAGCTGTTTGCTCTGCATCAAGTGTTCTTCACCTGGTTTCTTTGAATGGCTGACTCCTTCTCATCTTTCAGGTCTCCAATCATAACCTCCCCCGGTGCAGTGTTTAGGAGCATGCACTCAAGAGCCAGGCTGCCTAGACTCAAATGTTGGCTTTACCACTTGTTGGTTGGTATTCTTGGGCTCGTTACTTAACTTTACTGTGCCTGTTTTCCCATCTGTAAAATGGGATACCTCATTATCTAAAGCCTTATAACGACACCTAGTGCATTGTAAGTGCCATGTTAGGATGGGCTGTTACTGTTATTTTTACCATCCCTTGACCATTGTATCTTAACATAGGACCATCACAATTACTTTTTTTTAATTATATATTTTACCTTGTCTTAGTAACTAATAATACATAATAAATATATATTGTATTACTATAACACTGTGATTTGTAAGATAGTTATATTTGGCCATTCAGATGACCAAAATTTATTTCTCATAGATTTTTGGTCTTGGTCTACAGTTTCTGGCTCACAGCTCCCCAAACCCTTGGAAGTGTTGAGCATGGTCATGGTGTCTTTTGTTATATCAACGAAGGTGGCTTTTGGTCCCCAACCAAGGCCAGGGGCTGGTTGTCAGGAGAACCGACCATGTTATTAGAGGGTTGGAACTTTTCTATCCTGCCGACTTTCCCAGTCCCCACCTTTGGGGAGGGGAGAGGGGCTGGCGGGTGAATCAGCCCGTGAATTCGTTAGTCGTGGCTGTGCAGTGAAGCCTACATAAAACCCAAGAGGACTGGGTTCTGAAAGCTTCCTAGTTGGTGGACACATGGGGATGTGGGCAGAATAGTACACCTAGAGAGGGCATGGAGCTCCTATGGGGTGTTAGGCTTGGGGTCCAAGCCCATTACTGAGCCGCGGTATGGACTCCAGGTAGAAAGTCCTGCTTCCTGTGTACACCTTTGAAGATAGGTTTGGGGGGTCAGTCCCACTTAAACCACATGGATTAGTAAGAGGCATTTTCTGAAAGAAAGTTGAATTCCATTGCCAAAATAATAGATTCTGGGTAGGCAGAACCAGTAGATGTACAATGCAGTCTTTTTGTGGACTAATTTTATTTTTCATTCTGTATCATGTCTCTGACCTTTATTTATTTATTTAAAAAAATTTTTTAATTGTTTTTTAAGATTTTATTTATTTATTTGACAGAGAGACACAGCGAGAGCAGGAACACAAGCAGGGGGAGGGGGAGAGGGAGAAGCAGGCTTGAGCAGGGTCCCCGATGTGGGACTCGATCCCAGGACTCTGGGATCATGACCTGAGCCGAAGGCAGACGCTTAACGACGAGCCACCCAGGTGCCCATGTCTCTGACCTTTTAAAAGGCAGGTGGCTCTGTCTCTTGTGGAAGGTCTAGCAAGTGGCAGAGCCAGAATTTCACCATAGCTTGTCTGACTCCATAGCCCCTTTCCTGTATTGGAGCTTCTTCAGCTTTTCTAGGGCAGCACCCCCAGGGCAGGGGAGGATGAATAGACTCTGGGGGTGTGAGATCATAGCCCCACCATCCTGCCAGAAGCTGAAATTCCCTTTGAAGTCTGGTTTATTTACTAAAGTCATGAAGAATTGGCATCCCACTTTAAAATGCTAACTGTAATATGGAAAAGTGCTTTCTAGCAGTAAGATTGATGCTCTAAGGAGACGAGCCCTTTTATCTTGTGAGCACTGCTGGTCACATCCCTTAATGTGAGCAGCACAGCACTACCTGAGGCCACTGTTCCAGGGCTCTTCCCTACTTTATTTTCAACAGGGACTCAGTGACTTACTTTTTAGAATTATAAGGAATATAAGTGAGGGTTTTTTTTTAAAGATTTTTTAATTTATTTTTTGACAGAGAGAGATGCTTAACCAACTGAGCCACTCAGGTGCCCACAGGACTGATGACTAAAAATTAAGAATGAGTTTGTAAAGTTGTTCATAGTGATCATTATATAAGTATGTGAACTGTGATTAAAGCTTGTTTTTGTATCATGAGATTGTCTGCTAATGACTGTCAGTGGTGAAATGTACTAGAAGTCGAAGGTTGCTTTGGAGTGTCTTGTAATGAGATGTAATTGGCCTTTTAACTTTGAAGAAGTCTCTCAAATTCTCTTTGTAATGAAATTTCTCCCTTTCAGAGTGGAATGCATTATTGTTGCCAATGATGCCACCATCAAAGGAGGTTCCTACTACCCAGTGACTGTGAGGAAACACTTACGGGCGCAAGAAATTGCAATGCAAAACAGACTCCCCTGCATCTACTTGGGCAAGTCACAAGAGTCATAAAATGAACTATTTTTAGCTGGTAAAATACAGTACTGTTTAGAAGGCTATATATGACATTATCAATGGGTATTTTTAAAAACTGTTGGTTTTTCCTATAATTACAAAATAAATGCGTGTTCTTTGCTAAAAACTCTGGAAGAAAAAGTAAATAAGAACTACCTATAATAACATCACTGAGGAATAACCTCTGACAGTATTTTCATGTATGCCAGTTTTTTTCCTCTACATGTGTGTGGATTTTTTCCTTCTGTGTATTTTCTTCTTGTCTTAACCTTAATGATCATTGTTCAAACTATGAAAAAATAATAGCTGATATTTATGGATCTCTTGAGTGCTAGGTACTTTGTTAAATGCTTGTGAATAATTTCAGCAAATGCAATTTTAAGAAATTGAATTCTTAAAGTAAATTTATATTTGAAATTAAAATACGTTTAAATCTAAGGATATTTTAAAAGAAACATGAAAGCAAGGCAGTTTAAAATTGGCACTGCCTGGATTTTGGTTTAATTTGGTGAAGTGCCAGCATATGTATATTGTTTATTTATGTGGGTATTTGAACAGGTACTAATGTAGAGATTTTTTTTTTCCTGCAAAAGTGAACTTACCTGTTTGACTCACAGTATGAACTTTTTTTGCATATGTAGAAAACAGCAAATGAGGCCTAAATGCTTCCAGGTGCTATGCCAAACACCATAGGGGTTGGAGTGAAGAGTATTATGTTGTCCCTGTCTTGGGCAAGCTTGAATGAATTAGAGACAGGATGTCATGTATTAAAGAACAATGAAGGAACCTAGTGTAACACTGCTATATGCACTCACACTGTGCTGAACTAATACCTTACCTACCTTGTATACCTTATTTCATGTCATCCCAGGAACAGCTCCTTAGGAGAGCTACTGTTGTCCCCTTCATTTCATAGGTGCAGAGAGCGAGACATAGAATGGCTAGGAAACACACCAGGAATCACACAATCTGAAGTCATCAAACTCTGTTCCAAATTCAGTGGACATTCTCAGCCCCCACTCCGCTCTGCAGTAAAAACAGTCCCCCAAGCAGTCTGTGATGAATTGTCACATGAATTCTCTAGATGGTTTTGTATTGGTTTAAAAGAGGGAAAGACACTTTTTTTTTTTTTTTTTTTTTTAGCTGAACTGGTTAAGAATTTACAGTGTTTCTGGGGCTTTAGCTTGTCCTCAAAGGAGAGAATGTCCTAAACGTTTCAAGTGGAATTTTGCACAGGGAGGAGATCCTAATGGATTTGAGGAAAACAGTGAATTTTTTTGGCTGTGTTGGGGGACTGGAGAAAGATGCTGTAGAATAGTTGAGAACGGTAGGGCAAGTTTTTTGTGAATGTGATTAAGAACTGTTGTTGTCATTGATACAAGTCTCTCTGTGTGCAGGGTATTTTGTTCATTCAAATGTACTTACTTCTCTTATTTCCCTTGTCTTCAGTTGATTCAGGAGGGGCAAACTTACCTCGACAAGCAGACATATTTCCAGATCGAGATCACTTTGGCCGTATATTCTATAACCAGGCAATTATGTCTTCTCAAAATATTGCACAGGTAATTTCTCATTAATGAAATGTACTCCTTTTTGCTCCAAATGCCATTGCCAACTAGGTATTCTGAGATGACTTAAAACGCAACTTAATACAGAATTTAGGTTTTTCCCCACAGAAAGTGCCTTAAGGTTATCTCCATTCAGATTATTCTCTTAATTATCGGCATAGTTTTATACTGTCATAAAGGCTGTTCACCAAAGGAAAAGAGTTTTTGAAAAGAAAGGGCACTGAGTAATTGCGTTTTTAGGACTATGTTCTGAGGCACTTTGGTGTCTAGATGAGGAGACAGGTGCGAGGAAGATTGTTGTAGCATCAACATAGCAAAAGTTAACAAACAACCTAAGTGACCATTACTGGGAGATGAGTAATATGATTTTTAGCTGTTCAGATGAATGAACTAGAATTGCATGCATCAACGTAAGTTAAGTCTCAGGAAATAAGTTGAGTAAAAATAGTAGAATAAATGCATAGTCACTTGCTTTGTTTGTAAATGTTAAATACATGAAACAGTCTGTTACTTAGGTCTTAAACATGTACATGGGAATAATACACTCAGCTTTAGAACAGTGGTTACCTATGAGGTGGGAGGCAGGAGGAAGGGGTCAGGCAGAAGGCTTCACCTATACCTGAAATATTTTATTTCTTTAAAAAAAGAAAAACTGAAGTGGGGACGCCTGGGTGGCTCAGTCGGTTGAGCGGCTGCCTTCAGCTCGCTCAGTCATGATCCCAGGGTCCTTGGATCAAGTCCCACATTGGGCTCCTTGCTCGGTGGGGAGCCTGCTTCTCCCTCTGTCTGCCGTTCCCCCTGCTTGTGCTCTCTCTGTCTCTCTGACAAATAAATAAAATCTTTAAAAAAAAAAAAAAAAAAAAAGCTGAAGTGAATTTGGCCAAATGTAAGATTGGATGTTAGGTTAAAGGATATTTATTTTGTTATTCTGTAATCTTTTTTTGGCATGTTTGAAATATTTCATAATACTAATGCTTCTCCTTTGTTTATGTTTTGTTACTGGATTTCTTAAGTTTGTAGTGTTTTTGGTAATAGTCTAATGAATTAGCCTTCACTTGCAATTATTGTATCTTATCTTTATTTTCTATCAATATAGTTGTTATTATTTATTTTGTATCTTATTGTTATGTAGTGACTTTGCCCATCTGTGCTTTATTTATCTAAATAGAAACTTCAGCTTTGCTCACTTTTGCACACAGAGTCCTTCTATTACCTAATTCTTACTATGATCTTTTTTTTTAAAGATTTTATTTATTTGAGAGAGAGAGAGCACATGAGAGGGGGGAGGGTCGGAGGGAGAAGCAGACTCCCTGCTGAAGAGGGAGCCTGATGCGGGACTCAGTCGTCGGACTCCAGAATCATAACCTGAGCCGAAGGTTAAGGTTAACCAACTGAGCTAGCCCGGCACTCTATGATCTTTTGTTTTATAGGGGAAGCCAGCCCATTTAATCTGGTATTATAATTTGTATAGTTGTACTAACCTTGTATTAGTTGTATTAGTTTCCTAGGGCTACTGTAACAAATTACCACAAACTGGAGGGCTAAAAATAACAGAAATTTATTCTCTCAAGTTCTGGAGGCTAGAAGTCTGAAATCGAGGTAGCAACTGCGCCAGGCTCTCTCAAAAGGCTTTAAGGCAGACTCTGTTCCTTGCCTCTGCAAGCTTCTCATGGCTCCAGGTGCTCATTTGGTTTGTGGTTCTGTGACTCTGATCTCTGCCTTGTCAGCCTTCTCCCCTGTGTGTCTGTGTCTTTTCTTCTCTCTCTCACAAGGACACTTGTCATTGGATTTCGGGCCTGCCCATATAATCCAGAATGATCTTATCTGAAGATCCTTACTTTCATTACATCTGCAGAGACTTTTTTTCCAAATAATGTCATAATCAAAGGTTCTAGGGATTCAGGTGTGGGCATATTTTGGGGGGGGCCTTCATTCAACCCACTATAGACCTGTCACCTTGCATGCTTATTTTGTTGTTGTTGTTAAACTTTTTTTTTTTTAAGATTTTTTTATTTATTTGATAGAGACACAGCGAGAGAGGGAACACAAGCAGGGGGAGTAGGAGAGGAAGAAGCAGGCTTCCCACTGAGTGGGGAGCCTGATGGCGGGGCTCGATCCCAGGACCCTGGGATCATGACCTGAGCCGAAGGCAGATGCTTAACGACTGAGCCACCCAGGCACCCCTGTTGTTGTTAAACTTTATTTATTTTTTATTTTTTAAAGATTTTATTTATTTATTTGACAGAGAGAGACACAGCGAGAGAGGGAACACAAGCAGGGGGAGTGGGAGAGGGAGAAACAGGCTTCCCACCGAGCAGGGAGCCCGATGTGGGGCTAGATCCCAGGACCCTGGGATCATGACCTGAGCTGAAGGCAGACGCTTAACGACTGAGCCACCCAGGCACCCCTTGCATGCTTATTCTTTGCCCTTTCTTTCTGTTCGTGTAGCTTTTAACAATCAACATGTAACAAATATTTATGGAGGACCTACTGTAAACCAAGCACTGTATTGGTAAATAAAACGAGGTAGGGTCTCTGCTCCGGTGGAACCTAAAGCTTAAAGTGCTTTAAAAAACAGGTCTTTTTAAAATTAAAAGTGTCCATATTTTTGAATAAGTACCTGCCTGTGATTAAAAAAAAAAATCTAAAATGTCTGAAGGGCATTTGAATGCTTTCCCTTTTCTTATTTTATTTTTGTTTCTTAAAAGTTTTAACATCAATATTTCTTTAACTTAGCCACTTCTTTTAGCATATCTGTTTTCCATTTCACTCCAGTAGGAAGTTTAGGGGAAAGGTTAACCTTCCTCTATTCTTATGAATCTCTTGGAATTGGAGAAAAATTTCTAACTGCTATTGTGTACCAGTCTCCACAGGGCCTATTCTGATCTTTTCCCCAGTAAGTGAACTCTAAACCCCACATCTGCACTGAAGCTGTTGCTTCATACTTCACTGAAGAAATCAGGCTGTTTGTGAGCACTGTTGTACGAAACACACTGCGACTTCGCCTTCTTTTATCCCAGAACAACTGTCCCTCTTCCTCTCCAAAGCTAAACTTGCCGTTTATAATCCTCACGCCAACCCCTCCTTTGTGCCTCATCATCTATCCCTTTTCTGTCTCTTACTGTAATATTTTCTCATCTACTTTTTTTTTTTCTCACAGCCAATAACCATGTTGACTTCTGTTTTTAAAGGAAAAAGAAAAAGCACCAAAAGCAATGGCAAAAGAAAAGGACCTTTTCTAGCTTCTCCTGTTCCCTGAAGCTTCTCTCCTTCCCCTGATCAGACTCCTTAAGAACTGGCTCAGGACCTCCGTTCCCGACTGCTCACTCTCCATTAAACCCCCTGCACTCGGAGGTCCCGCTAGCCTCTGAGAGACCAGATTCTCACTCTCTACGACCCCTTGGTCTTATCATTTGTTCCCTTCCCTGAAATCCTCTTTAGGCTTCTTGCCTCTGGGTTTTCCTTGTTCCCCCACTCCCTCCATGTAATCCTCCCAACCCCACCCAGGAACTTGTCTTTAATGGTTTCATAAACGCTCATAACATACCTTTCATATCCATGATCTTTCCTGACCTCCCGCTGCACCTCTGCTTACCCTTGGGTGTTCTGCCGTCTGCGTGGATTTCCCATTAGTACTTACAGGCTCAAATTGGTCATCTTTCCTAGGAAGACTTCCCAGAATCCCTTCCTGGAAGTAACCTTTTCCTCCCGACTTCCATAATTTTTTTTATTATTTTTTAAAGATTTTATTTATTTATTTGACAGAGAGAGACACAGAGAGAGGGAACACAAGCAGGGGGAGTGGGAGAGGGAGAAGCAGGCTTCCCGCTGAGCCAGGAGCCCGATGCGGGGCTCGATCCCAGGACTTTGGGATCATGACCTGAGCCGAAGGCAGACACTTAACGACTGAGCCACCCAGGCCCCCCAATTCCCATAATTTTTAAGCTATACCTTAGTAATGGTGTTTATTCCTTTTATCTAGGTATATCCTGACTAATTTCCCTCACTAGACTTTAAGCCACTTGAGATTAGAGACAGTATCAGATTAATGTTTATATCCTCATACATTTCCCTGAGAAGGTACTTACCTCAATATTTATTAAAAAAGTGAAATTCTTTGTAACTATTTAAGTGATATCTGACATACTGAGTACTGGTTCTTAAATTTTAATGTATGCTTTATTATTTACTTAAAACTTTGGCTTAGATGGACTGATGAAAACAAGTTTTTATACTTTATTTTCATTTTTTAAGTTTTTGTTTATATACTTTATTATTATAAAGCAATCACTTGTAACTCTGTTATGTGTGCATTTTGGGTTTTTTTGTTTTTTTGTTTGTTTGTTTTGGAAAAGCACTTGTTAGCATTTAATGACCCGCCCTCCATTTGGCTTCAAGCTACTAGGACACACACCCTTAATCTTCTCCTCAGCTCTTCTACTGAAGAATTTGGCCTTCATGATGACTGTCTGGAAGAAATGCTTTTCCTAAAACTCTGCAGTAGCCTGATCGCACCACATCAGTGATAGGAGCAGCTCCATTCTTGTATTTGGCGGCATTTCCCTGTGTCTGCTCACTGATAAAGGCCCACAGCTTATCAAGGTTGACAGTTGGGCAGAAGCTCTGGTTCCTCTTTAAGTGGTAATGTCTCATACCAACTGCTCTGGAGTAACCTGGGTGATATGTGTCTCAGTTGTTCCTGTGGTGACACGTGCCACCAGCATGACCCCGGCCTCCTGAATGTTTGCCAGTGTAGCTGTGGCCCACAGCTCACATGTCCCCGAAGTCTCTGGGTCTTCCTCAGTCCCGATGGCATGTCGACAGCCCAGACAAAAGAGGGAGGCCCGTTATGTGTACATTTTGATAGGGAGCACTAGCTTCCTTACTCCTTCAGTTCCTGCTTTCTTCCCTAAGGTTGTTCTTTAGTTAATGTTACTAACCTTGCACACTGTAAATCCACTTATCCACTTTTTTCTAAGATACATGTCTCTTGA